GGTTATCCTTAAGGAGGAGTATCTATAATAAAACTCTGCCAAATGCTGGAAATATGATCCACGACTCCACCTGATTAGGGCCAACAGCCGTTATGTGGAACATTTGCTCCTGCCTTGTGTACAGCTGCATACTACAGTGTAAACTATTTGTGGGCCCGGCTCCAAGGGGGTTTATGGAAGGCAAAATACTACCAGTGGATTTGATTACTACCTGAGAACACACTGCAAATGCTGCAGCAAATTGCAATGGCTGCAAAATAACCTTTTTGCAAGGGTTGCCTGACATGTGTCCTCCTAGTGAGAAATTCCCCAGCCATGAGGAGATGGAGTTAAATGGCTCCCCACAGTTCTGCTCTTTTTTTTCCCCTTCTTAAGGCTTTCAAGTTGTTTTTAGCGCCGCCTCTGTGCCTTCTCCACGGCTGGCTGTCTTCCTTGCCGCAGAGGAAGCAAAGCGGTGTCCTGTCACACCCAGGCTTCGAGGGTGGCCAGTCATGGCAAGATCTATTGTCCATTTTGGCCAAATTTGCAATCTTTCACCCTGTGGGGAAAGTGGAGGGGGATGCAGGGCATCTGAGGGTGGCTGCAAGCTGTCCTGTCCAGAACAGAGGGCAGCAAAAAACAGATGGCTTTTGTGCCTCTGAATTTGAGGGGTACATGAAAAACAACTTAATTTTCTCCTCTCCTTTCTGCTGGGAACTTTTATCATTTAGATTATCCAAATATTGGTGATGGGGTTGTTCTGAGGTGGTCCTAGGCTGTGCTCAAAAGCTTCCTCCCCATGAGGGGCAGGGAGGGAACAGGTTTCCTTGTGATAAGCTGGTTTTTCCTTCCTCCCACATTGTGTTTTGCCTTCCCCTTGCTGTGCTGCTGTAAACTGGATTTGTGAAATGATTCAGAGGAAAAGCCACCACCCTTCTTCCCTCAAAGCAGCAGCATGAAGACAGAAACAAGCATGTGACTGAGGTGGGGAGAGAGGCAAAAGAGAAGTGTCTTCAGGCAGCTCTGCAGGAGGAAACAGCAGGGACCACCATGCAGAAGATGAAAGCTGGCTGGGGGAACACTTGGGAATACAAAGCTCTGTGAGCAAGGCAATGTCAGGCTCTGTCTCGAATCAGCAGCTGTATTGAGAACTGCTTTGTTCTGCTTTTCCCCAACAGCTTTTGAGGGGAGTGAGTTTGTCTCTGAAACACAAAAAAATCTGGCAGGATGCAAAGATGTGCTGGTCTTTTCTGGGTCTCAGAGCAGCCATGCATTGCAACCACCTAGGCAGGTAGAGCCCCTCACGTTCATCTTCTGCTTTCAGAGGTCAGTTGTGCCAATGGGGTGGTACCAGGGTGGTGGCAATGCTCATCCTCAGACACCAGATGCCACATTTGCAGTAGTCCCCTCAACTTCTCTGTGGTCTCACAGAGCATCACCCAAGTCAAGCAATGTCACTTCTGTGGTAGCAGCATCCCTGATCCTCAGGCCATGCATTTCAGGAGGGCTTCCATGTTTCTCACATCTGTCCCCCACATATATACTGTTCCCACAGTATACAAACACACCCTTACCCGTGTGGGCTTTTTGGTTTGAGCAACTTTCCCAAGAGCTGAATCCCAGTTCTCCTGAGGTAGGATTTAGCAGCTGAGGAGTGCAGGCATGTGCTTGGCAGCAGCAGGGTGGCTGCTGCTGTCAGGCTGCATTGCCACCTGCTGGGGCCACACAGCCCCTTGCTGCAGTCACTGTCACCCTTCAGCACAGAATCTCCAGGCCAGCAACCCTGCCAGGAGAAAGAGTAGCTGGGTCTCCAGTATGTTTCTTCAGGTGCTTATTTGGGGCAGATCTGCTGCTTCCTGCTCTGTTGGATTTTGTCTTTAGGCACTAATAACATTGGAAGTTGTAACTTTTGGGGTTTAGATTTCCTGGTGTGGGAAATTAGATTTCTTCCCAAGGTGTAGCTAAAGGGATGCAGGGGACACTTTGGCAAAAGGACTTGGGTCATTAGGGGCAAGAAGGTATGAGGGACCTGTGTTTCTTCTTCTCAATGTAAAAAAAAAAAGAAAAATTAAAAAAAAAAATCTCTTGCTACAAATCAATTATATGTGCTGGGAACTTGCTGGCCTGGAGCAGGAATTGTGGTCCTTTTGGGACCAGCCACATTCCCTGTGTTGCCATCTGAAAACCCCACTTGGATTTGGCCAAGGTATTGCACTGTGGTGGGAAAACACGAACAAAGCAAGAGGGAAGGAGGGAAAGGTGAGGTAGTGGTACAGAGGGATGGAAATCAGATGAGATGCTAGAGAGAAACAAGGTCTGGCTAGACAGCTCATGTAAGCCAGCAGCTCTGTGCTCCCCTCATGGCTGCTTCTCTTTTGTGGATTTTTGAAAAGTTAATATGCAGGAATCAAAAATGAAATAATTTGGGCAGAGGGCAATAACATATCTGTCCTCTTGCACTGTCCCCATGTCACCTCTTTGATAGCTGAGGCTGCTGTCAGCTTTTGAGAGCTGAAACCACGGCAGGCTCTCAGGGGACATGCACACCTACAGATGGTGTTTGGTTTACAGTAGGTGGGATGTTTTTCATCTTGCCGATCACACCAGTATACAAAGGGGGTGAACACAAACTGAGCCAGATGGTAAAGCATTCAAAACATGCTTTTTACTTATTTCTTAGGAGCATAAGGTACATTTTTTTTTTTAACAGAACACCACAATGGACAAACATAACCATCACCAAGTGTTAAATGTCTGTTTCTCATAAAGTCCCTCTCAGGTAGTTTGCTGAAGCAGGAGCTGTTATGTGTTTTCAGGCTTTGTCTTGTTCCCTCTCTTTGGCATGAAGATGGGTGGAAGTGGGCAGTGCCACACCCCTGTATGAGAAAGGAAAAACTGCACTATGGTGCTTTCCCATCCTCATTCCTGGACCTTCTCCCTCAAGACCTTTACAACAAACCTTAATAGAAATGGAAACTGTAGAAAGCCAGGTTTTGTAGGACCTCAAGCAACCTAATATATGTGTAGGATCACCTTTATCCATGTCACTCCTGACAGCCTGGCCTTCAAGCCTCTGGTGCTGGACAGTCACAGCCTCCCTGAGGCAGCCTGTTCCTCCTTCTACTGAGCAGGAGGGTGCTTTTCTGGGAGGATCCACATCCTCCTTCTGGTGGCCAGCACTGCACACAGGTGCATTTTGGTGCAGGACTGTGGTCTCCAATGGAAGCCACAGTGGGACGATGCAGTCTTGGATGAAGACAGCACTGCAAAAGGATGCCCTGGGAGGAAAGCACAGGACTGGTCTCAATGGATTGGAGATAAGGAAAAATGACACTCAGGATGGGTGGGAGGCCACTGAGCCTCCAGGAGCTGCCAGAGTGGCTGCTGTGGCATATGTTGATCTCTTCAGACAGGAGGTAAAAATAATGCAAAGCTTGGTCATTTCAGCATTTTTATTAAACAGTTTTTTATTAAACACTCAGCAGTTGTACACATGACCCTGACCCTCCCCCCCATCAGTGTACAAATTTGGGAGGTTATGCTGTCATGACACTATGACACAGGCTGTGCAAACCATCTCCTTTACAGAAGCAGCACCCAGGAGAAACCCGGGCTCAGTGTCCCTACTCTGTTATCATACCAGCCAAGCTGGAAGGTAACTTACAGCGAGCCTCATGTGCTGTTTGATTAGCCAACTCCTTCTTCCTCCTTCTCTGCCACCTCCCTGTGTTGCTCAGGCCCTGTGAATGATAGGGAATACCTGCTGCTGAGCCTGCATGAGCCTGAGGCTTCTAACAGGGATGCCCAGCCCCAAGCAGATGAGCTCTTCTGCACTTCAGGCTGTCTTTTGGTGGTTTTTCAGAAACCTGTGATTGCAGCAGGAGCGTGGGCTTTGAGGAAAAGTTCTCGAGGGGTCTGCCCACTGGGGCTTGGCTGCCCTGCATTCAGGCACATGTGAGCCAGTTGTGTTAGTGTGCCAGGTCTGGTGGTCCTGCTTTGTTGTCCCTGGTGCAGGAGTGTGGCTGTGCTGCCCTGCAGCTCTCACCTGCTCTTATGGCCTGAGCCACTCAGCAGCTGGGCCCTTGAAAGATCAAAACCCACAGCCACTCCTGTGCGGGCTGAGGAGCTGCTCTCAAACAGCACAAAGCAGTACAGCTGTATCTGGAACTTTCTCTGCACTCAGTGTTTAGTTCATTCTCAGTGCTAAGGAAGTGGTTTACAGGGTCAGGTCTCTGCTGCAAATTGGTGCAGCACCAGCTAAAGGATGGAAAATCAGAGTTACCCCTTGCTAAGTATCTGGTCTGCTTGACAGGTCAAAGCTAGTTAACCTAGGGCAAATCTTCCAGTTGGGTAGATGTGTGGTTGCAAATCAAACTACAACAAGCAGTAGCAAGGCAAATGAGTGACTCAAATTATCCAGCTTTGGGAACGCTTATAAAAGAAAACATGTAAACAACATCTATACAGCTAATAGGTTAAACACTGACAGAATTCAGTGGAACATATTTCTTTTCCCTTGTTGCTGATGCACCTGGCACCACTTAATACATGAATTTAAATAAAGACTGCAAAACAAACTCTCAAAAGTAACCAGAAGAGACCACACCAGCAAGCATGCTTAGCTCACTTTTAGACTGGAGTTTTCCATTAGATGGCCCACAGACTAGCAAGGTTTAATGGCAGATGGCAGTGGATTACTGGTCTGCCACTGGAAAAAAAATGCACAAAAGAGCTACACCTAGCCTTTGCCTTTAAAGCAAACAGGTGGAAATTCAGGACAAGGCTTTGGCATGTCAGTTCCAGCTCTGCCACTTACAAGATGACATTAACAACATATAAAGACTCCATAGTCCATCACATTTGCCTCACGTGCCACAGCCCAGCTACTGAACCACGTACTCCCTGGGTGCTCAGTGAGAAAACACTTAAAAACAACTTGCAGGGCCACAGTCTCAGTTTTCCATCTTTTGTCTTACATAGGTAACTAAATTCCTGCAACTATTTGTTAGCACAAAAAGAAATCAGCCCAACTTACATTTAATAGAAACTTTTTCCCAGGAAATGGGATACATAGAATAGCAAAACTCTGTAGCCAACAAAATACTGTACAGTTCTCCCTGCTCCCACCTGCAGCCCTGCGCTTTTAAGGGACATCAGCAAAATTTGCATTCTGTCTTTTAAATTGAAGCAGTGTAATAAGATGACTAGAAATGTTAGAGAACTCAGCATGCCCTCAAGAGGATGGATTTACGTTCAGTTAGGTGAAAAATGAATGATGAGTCTGGAAGAAGGAGAAAACAGCTTCCAACTGCGTTTCCACGTGTGGACGGATTCAGGCAGGAAACTGCCAAGCTCAGCTTCAGAGTTCAAACGCAGGGAACTTGGCCTTGGTTGGCACCAGCAGGTCAGCAAGAAAGTAAATTGTTCCAGCCATTCCTGAGGATAAAAAAACCACACTGTGCTTCAGAGAGATTCCCTCTGGACACCCATTTTTTCAATTATCCAGGGGTGAATAAGTCATGAAGACAGAAGGAAAGGCCCTAAATAATTTCCAAGGTCTGAACCCAGGTTTCCCAAGCAGCATTTCAGTGAGGAAAGTGTTTTGATGTTGGTGAAACATTGAAAAGCACCAGGGAAAACACAATGGGTCCTTCCCCCCTCCAGATCCCTCCCTTCTGCTTTACTGGTGCCCAAGCTTAACACTGAGCAGCTTTGCCCAACTCTGGTCCCTGTGGTACTGCTGCACGAGGTCCTCGCTGATGGAACTGCCACTGTAAACAGACATTAGCCTGTGCTACAGGAGACTGCTCCTGGGAACAGGGTAAAAACAGTGAGTACGGTCTCCTTTCCATCCTCTACATTGAGTTTCCCAATGGCTTCAATGGCATGTGGATTTGGTTTTCCTTGGTGCTGGACTAGTTCAGATCCAGGAGCAAAACACAAGGCTAGAGACTGAGGTTACCTTCAAAGAGGGAGAATGGTGTGTCTGGAGTCCGGCACCCGTGTTGGCCATAGCTTAAACACCACTCTGCAAACTGAGAAAAGAGGAACAAAAAGCGTTCAAATTTGGTTAAAGACAAATCTTGAACAAAAATACCACTCTCATCCTCACGCTGCCCCTTGCAGAGCAAGGCTTCCGTGGGAAATCCCTTCTATACAGGCTGTCAGACAGTGACTGCACTGCTCAAGAACTATTCTGGTGCAGCTGGTCAGATCTAGCTGCATGTCTGCCATGCTAGAAATTGGGTTTCAAATGCAAAGGCGCTGCTGTAGAAGGCAGAAGTGAATAATCCCCTCTCCCTTCCTCAGGCTCTTACCTTGCAGGCCCTGTAGAGGTATTTCATGTTCTGAGTGAGGTTGTACAGTGCCAGGAAGCTGTAAGCATTACCAGCTGTCCCATGGCACAGCCCGTAGCCTTTCTTCAGTAACCCGTACTGCCAGATCACTTCTGCACACTGCAGGGCATCGTTTAGGTACTGCTGCTCCCCAAAGACCTGCAGAGGCAAGAAACAGTTATCCTTGCTTAGGTGATTTTCTCCACAGAGCATCCCTATGTGTTGTGGAGGCCTGAGTTAATTGGTTTCTCCCCTGCTGGAAGTTACTTTGCTGTCTACTTTAAAGGAGGATGTTTTAGATATCGATAGAAGAAATAGAAACTTTACTCACAGTATCTCAGAATGCCCAAATAAGGAACAATTATGATCTTAGAGAAGTCCTAGGGAATTCGGTAAGGATGTACTCAAACAAAGAAGATGTAAACTAAGCTCTGTGTACCCAAACAAGATAAAATAAAGAACAAACGTAACAGTTTTTGGTGATGGAACACAATGATGCTGTACCTGCTGTAGATGCTCAAGAACTGAGGTCAAGACAACGCAGAAGATCCGGAAAGACCGAAGAGGGACTTCCAATAGGGGTGTGACTATGTAAACAAACTAATGAATTAAGTAAGCAACACTATCTAATGAACATGTAAAGAGTAGGTGTAATAAGAAGCCCTGTCTGTCTGTCATTTGGCACGTTCAATTAGAGGAGCTCTCCTCCAAATGTCCAGCATGCTGAATAAAGAAGAATGTCCTTTTTAACATCTACAAATTGGTGTTAAGAAGTTTGTTTCTGCCACTTTTCGATATCAATATGATGAATTGGGATGCATGACCATTACTTCCCACACAACTAGTTGTCACCATCAATCACCTGTAACAGGACAACCCACACAACTGCTGGGTATTTTCAGAAATATTTTTTAAAAGATTAATTTTTATATCAGTTAGTGGTCCCTGTGTGGTGATTTCACTGTAGCAAGCCACCCTACTCTCAGGCAGGGGGGGTCTCACAGCATTTTCTCTGTGATGAAGTCCCACATTAAGGGTCCCCAAAGGGTCTTTGCAAGATTTCTGGTACCTTGTAGGCCTGGATAAGCATGTAGATTACACCTGGTGCCCCATGGCACCAGTGGACGAGTAGGTCTCTGGTGTCACCGATGCATGGAGGGTAATTCCCAGATGGGAACTTGAGCTGGCAGACATAGTCCACACTGGGCTTGATTGTGTTGTGCAGCTTTCCTTGGCTTGCTCCAAGGCCAGGCTAAGAGAGAGAAAGCATTAAATCAGGGAGAATTACCATTCTGTCTGTCCCTAAGAGACCCAAGATCTGCCTGAAAGGCGAAACAAAGCCAACTATGGCTATGTTCCCCTCTTGCTCCTTGTACATCAAGTAATTTCTCTGGTCCAGGCTTTCACACTTCACAAATACCCACTCGGCCCCTGGTTGCTCTCTGTCTTTTGGCAGGGTCTTACTGCCAGTCCTGCCCTTGCATCCCAGAAACAAAGACTGTCCCTAGCATGTCACCCAGCACCCTAAGCAAGAGAGCTTGCTGCTGCTTTTCCTGAAGATAAGCAGGAATAGCTTCCACACCCAGAGCTGGAGTGAAGAGATAAACTGTCTGAAATCAGTATTAAGGATGAGTGCCAGGGTTGAGTTCTAGCACCTAGAGCATCTCAGCTGTGATGCTGCATTTTCACACGTTGCTCGGTGATTTCAAGGGGGTTACCTCACTGCTGACCTCAGATGGAAGCAAGGGAGTGGCTTCAGTGTCCTCTTCCAATGACACTGCCCCCCACAAAATCTGTGCAGTTCTAATTTCCCACAGCAGACTGCAATGAGCACTCTCACCTAAGGATCACACTGTTCCCAGGTTAATAACTGGAAAATTAAAAATCAATACCTGTGCTGTAAAACCATCAGAGATAAAAGATGTTTGTCTCTTCATATTTCACTTGTTTGCTTCCCCCAAGGCTTTTTCTGCACAATGCTTGGCTGATCCAGGCTCCCTGTACTTCATATGGCAGAGGAGCGTGAAGCCCATGCAGTATTTTATGGGAGACTTACACTTAAAATTACTTAAAACATCAGCCTGGGAACAAGCTCAGACACTCCTGTCTCCCCTGCTCCCAGCTAGCTGTTCTGGTGCTCCTGGGCAATAATCACCTTGCATCCTCCTCTTGCCAAATCTACTTAAAACCCACCAACCACCCCTTCCTCTCTGAGCCACAGAGGAGGGTTATATTCACAGGAATTCTGCTTATCCTGTATGCGGGTTTTAACTTTGAGGGTCTTGAAGGAAAGCTCATATACTTGAAACCTGGTGGCTTTTTTTCCCCACCTGTTCTGAGAGTTGGGTCTAATAAAAGATATCACCTATTTTTATATCAAAATAATTTGCATTGCTCATGGGTGCTTTAAAAATGCAACGTTATTTATTGCTGTTATTCTTCTAAGTGCTTAAGCACTGTAAATTTAAGCATAAAGTGACCTGCAAAGGGGAATTATCACCCTCATTTCAGAGCCAGAGTAGGGAATATTGCCAGAGCTCCAATGAGTTGTGCAAAATAGTGAGAAAGACAGCATCAAAGCAAAGGGGTACTGCAGCTCCCAGCCTCTCATCTTGCCCTGCCTGCTTCAGGCACTACAGAACTCAGCTCCTTTATCAAAGTAAAAAGTCCCACCTCTTTCACATTTTTAGAAACAGGCCCTCATTTGGATACAAAGCCTTGTCTCACTTTCCTACTACAAATGCAGTCTCTTCCACCGTGCTTTTCTCCCCGAGATTCTCACTCCAGTGATCTGAGATTGCTTCAAGTAACCACCTCAAAAATGCAGGAAGCTCACACATACCAAAAACAGGAATACTTCATAAGCAATTAACATGAGGGGGAAACTCAGACCCAGCTGACCCCCAGGCCTCCATTATGTGACACTGCTGGTGTAATGCAGGTCACAATTCTCTACAGCTCTCCATCAAGGGGGGAGATTCAATCTCAGTCTTGGAGAAAACCTTCGGCAGCGAGGATGTATGATCAAACATGAGTAAGTCCATCAGACAAGGGAGTTTTCCCAGCTTGACATCACCAAGAACCAATTCAAATGCTGCTCCTTCTTCAAAGAAATGTGAAACAGCTGCTAAGGGCACCTTCCCTCCCCTCCAGTGCCTCTTACCTGCATGAGAAAGTAGTAAATCCCAGCCAAACCATGGGCTGCCCCTACATAATACTCCTGGTACCACTCATACATCAGGGGGCTCTTTGCTGTGAAATTCCTCTTTTTGGCCAGGTTCTCTCCTGAGGCTACAACTGCTTCCCAGACCTGTGATGGGAACAGATGTGGGTGAGGGAAATGATGCTGTCTTGGACATACCGCAGTGAGTATCCTGACACAGAACTAGAGTTGTTTTTCTGCCCAAGCAGAGGGAAGAGCATGAGGGAGGGAGTAAAATACATGCCAGTTCAGTACTGCCCATGGATTTATATGGACAGCAGAGGGCGCGTGGTGCTTTGTCCCTTTGGAAGAAAAGCAGCAGGGATACCATGGTGTGGCTTCTCCCTTACTGCAAGAGTTCTCTACATCTAGCATTGATTTTTACCTGCCCAAAGATGAGCTGCATGGGAAGAGACAGCAAAAGGCACAGTACCTGCTGAATATGACTTTTAGGGATCTTCTCCTCTCCAAAGTGCTTGTTCACAAACGTCAGTGCATAGAGGTAGCCCATGCGCCCGTACAGCAGCTCATCGGGTACCCGTGGGTCAGCCTTGAGCAGGTGGAGCAAACTAGGACGAAAAATTCCCATGGGGGAGATTAGAGGACATTCAAAGCCACATAACCAAGCACTGGGACTGGCGCTCCAAAGCATGGTTTGTTCCTTCACGCCCCGCCTGTGCCCTGTAGACATCAGGCCAGTCTCTGTGTCGCAGCCTTCCAGCTACGCAAGGTGTGGAATCACTCCTTCCCCTCTGATTTTTGTTTGGCTTTTTTAGCCTGCCCAGCCCTTTATAATGCACTCACACTATGTGCTTGTGTTTTAGACCACCAGCTCTGGGAAAGCTACTTGAGGGGGAAACCTGGGCTAAAGGAAATGGTCAGTATAAAGCTGCTGACTGCTCAGGGAAGGCTGCCCATCATTATTCCCCCATGATGCTGCTGGCAAGGCAAACCCTCTGCAAAAAATGACTACTTTCAAACTAAATTGGTATCCCTTTAATTTGGCTGCTTTGTGTAAAAATCTCACTCCTAATGCTCAGAAATCATGAGAGAAAAGCCCCTTCCTCTGCAAGTAGCCAGGGCTACACTATCAGTGGAGAAAGAGTTGCCTCCATGAGCTAAAAATCTAGAGAAGGAGGTGGAGCTACAAATGTTGTTTAACACCAAGCCACTGTGGCACATATAAGAAATTTGGCCTAGGGAGAGCTGAGCAGCAGTGAGGACAGCTCAGCAGGGCTTGAGTGCTGTGGGCTGTCTGGGGACAACCTCACACTGAGGACAGCTTGGCTGGCACCAAGCTTTAGCCCACAAGTGCAGAGTGTGACCTCTGCTGCAGCCAAGTGCTTTCTTTACCACTTTTCTATTATCGTATTGCAAAGTTAGTGATGTTCCCGTAGTGCTAACAGAGACTGACAGCTCTTCACACCAATGCTTTGTAGCCCAATTCACTTTTGATGCAATTTTTCGATTGTTTTACCTCTCATCACACTTCCAGCAGGGCTGGATTCCTTCCCTGTCAGAGCAGCAGGTGGCAATGTGACTAGATTTGGCTTTATTTTTCTGCTCACCCATGAGAGAGCAATCTGAAAAGTTCCATCACTTTGCAAATACTAGCACAAGTGGCTGCAAGGCTGTTTCCTGAGCTGCTTCCTGATGCAAAACCAGCCAGGAAAGCTCCGTGTGTGCAGATCTTCCCTGTCACAGTTGTGTGAGGAACAGAAAAGGTGCTTTGGCAGCCTTGGCTCCAGGGCCAAACAATGTGTAGCAAAGGAAAGAAGCAACCAAATGTCCAGAGTACCCTCAGAGCAGAGAGAGGATGCTGGGCTGCGACTCCTCGCGGCAGGAATCTTTCCCTGGCACTGGACTCAACGTGAGCAGGGATATTGAAGGAGAAAGGAGGGAGCAGTGTCTCAAGGGGGACTGCCCTGTCTCCTATGTACCACTTAAAATGTGCACTGCTCCATGGTGGAGGTTTCTCACAGATTAAACCCAGGAGAGAGACTTTATACCCAAGACTAGGACTAAGCACAGGTTCCTCTCTCAGCTGCAGGGGCTGAAAGGAAAGCCCTGCTGCCTCCTCATGGCCATTGTGTCCAAGTAAAGCACGATGAGGAGGGTTTCCAAGGAGAAAAGCAGTGTTTGGACAGACAGGCTCTGCACAGCAGCAGGCTGGCCAGAGGAGATGCTGGCTGGTGATGCTGTTCAGCTCTGACACGCTGGGGAAATGTCAGGTGCAATAGAAGGAATGGATGGATGGGTGAACTGTAATACCCATGGCAGGGATTTTCTGAGGTCTGGATGCGAAATCTTCTTTTCATGGGGAAATCCAGAGCAGCTGGAGCTACTATTCTTGCTCCTTATCCATTACTGCTTTCCCTCTAGCTGCTTTCCAGGCAGGATCATCAGGGGAGAAAGCCTGCCAGTAGTTTCTGCCATTTTTGAAATGTGGTCATGCATGCAACAAGAGATGCCTGGGATGCTCCCGGACTGATTGCACGCCGAATGCATTTCTCAGGAGCGAGGGGTAAATCGAGGTCTCTGAAAGGAAGAGCCACTCTTATTCACATATCAGCCTATTACCTCAACTGTCAACAATCAGCAGTTTCTGGATAGAGGGAAATCGAGGCAGCTGTATAGCAGAATGGGATTTTTATAAGCCACTGGCTCTGAAGGCAAACCTTTGACCTTCTGAATTGGTGGGAGGTGACAGGGAAAAGAGGGCTCCTGGAACATGGCTCAGATTTTCACAGGCTCTTGGAAAATGGGCTGCCCTGAAACAGTCTCTCTAGAGCATAAAAGCACATTTGTTAGTCATGAATTCATTTAGGAGAGAGCAAGCTTCTGTCTCTTCCACTGAAGGTAAAACCTGGCTGATGGATTCCCTCCACAGGCTCTGTAAAGATGAGGTGCTTTAAAAGACAGAGGACAATATGGAGAGAGGCCCTTGTTCTCCACAGCTGTGAGAAAAGCATTTTCTTGCACTGCATAGCTTAGCAACTGTTCTGTAACTAAACAGCACACTCAAAACCCACTTAAGAGTTTTGATTAAGGGAGCTACTTTTCAGAGAAATACTCTGTTCTTCAAGGAGCATGGTCAAATTACTGCTCTGGGAATTGGTGGCAGAGTAAGGACAGTATCACTGTTCCTTCGAGAAAGACACTTTTGTTTTTCCTCCCTTCAGATGTATTAAGAAACCAATTTCCAAGGTTCTGCCTTTATGATATCATTAGATGGCAATGCAGAATTAATCACAAAATTCCTTTCTGCCGCTGAACTGTAGGCAGAACAGGTGGGAACCAGGGAGGAGAGAGCTTGGCAAGAAAACCTTTGGGGTTTTTTCACAACCTGGGACTTTTGTATTGACCAGAACTGACCAGCTTTGTCAGACTAGTTCCCTTTTTGTTAGCAAATATATTAATCATAGTGAGATTTTCCACTTTGTCAAAGTATTAAGCAAAATCCAACCCAGAGATTATTAAAAGGATAAAGAAGAGAGTTCTGTCCTCAGACTGACCGTATCCACATGAACCAGAAGCTATTCTTAGTTAAGGGAGTGGGAAATTGGTGTCCAAACCGTACAGACACTTCTGATTCCCACCCATGGCTTTTTTTAATTGCTATTATACATCACTTGCTCGTGGCTGTTTAAGGGCACTCAGTGTTGTTCTGAAGCATCAGGGGTTTTGTCTTATTTTGTGCTGACCATGTGAAAATGGAAACTCTCTACTGGGCTGTTTCTCACCTTCTCAGAACTGATCTCCCTTATGCAAGAAATGCTTGCAACTGCATCTCCTTAACTCTTTTCCTTCCTCTGCCACATGCTGATCTAGGGTTGCTTGTTTGTTCTTTTCTTGTCTTAAGTACCCAACAAAAATACATTTGAAAAGAGTCTAGGAAAGGCAGGAAATAGAAATAAATTAATCATAACCAGCTGCATTCAGCAGTTGAAAGGGATGCTGTCAATCTTAGGTTTAAGTCAAAGTCAACTAATAAATAGCAAGTGGAAGCAAGTGCCAAAATTAAATCTAATAATTCTACCACATTTTTCCTTTTCATCAAAATGGCTGTAAAACTAAATTGAAGGGTTCTCAAAAAAACACCAAACCCCAACTTCTGTATTTTTTCTTTTGTTTTTAATTTTGGCACTTTTTTCTTCCTGTGTTTATCAGAATTATTTTTAAGATGGCAATACCAGCTGACCAATATCCTTTCTCCCCATGCTGCCATGCAAGTGTGTTTGTCCTTAAGCCACCTCTTTCCTCAGGGCAGAACTAGTTTGTACTGCCTTCCTCAGTTACTGGATTATTTCTCACACAAGACTGCAACAAAATGTATTCAGGCTTGGTAGAGGGTACCCCATACAAGGCCAGACCAGCTCAATGAGCAAGGGGAACATTAGGTCAAAGCCATAACCAGGTGTTTTACCGAGTGATGCAGTCTTCTGCCTGCTTCTGGTTGTGCAGTTTGTGGTAGACGACAGCGGCCACTGCCAGGGGCCCAGCATCGCCACACAGGAAAGTGATGGAGCGTCTTGTCAGGCAGCTCAGGCTCTTCTTCACGTACTCGTGGGCCACCTGAAGGTAGGCTGGGTCTCCATACACATCATACAGGTGCAAATACAGCAAAGCAATGCCTGAAAAAGGAACATGGAGGTTGCACCCACCAGAAAAGTTTAATATTCCTGCTCTCTGCCCTGGCTGTTATAAGGAACCTAAAAACCCATCCCTCTGCCTCCTCTAGGGTATAAGCCTTATAGACAGGCTTCTAAGGCACATCCAAGGACATAATCTTGAGCTGCAGCATCCACAGCTTCTTTTACTGCTTTGCAACTTCCTTGTACCTGGTGCCGCTCGTGAGTGGACAGCAGGTCAAGACAAACAGCAGTGCCTGACCCATGAGAGCCTGGAGAACACCACACAATTACACACAATTACATATAATTTTAGTAGCAAGGAGCAAAAGATGAGACCTAGACAAACCCACCTAAGTCCATAAATTGTACCTGTGACTGTTGGTCAGCAGTGGAGGGAAAAAAAATCTTTGGGCAAGATGGTACTTGTGGCAGAGCAGTGCTGAGTTGTTACTCTCCATTTTTTTTCCATGCCAGGGGGTAAAGGGCTGGGTCACTTAGCTTGGATTGGATTTTAAAACAAAGTGACATGCCACCACGACTGAGAAGCAGTACCCCTAGGACATCCTAGTTGACTCTTTCTTTTTTTTTTACTTCTTTTTTTCTTCCCTCCCACTGGGAAGCACCAGCAAGGTTGTTACAGCTCCCTGGACATCATCTCCAGCTGCTGAGCAGGTCCCAAGCCCTACAGCAAGGTCTGGTGCATCCTAGAAAAAACCCAGGGGTTGCTCAGCTCTCCTCTGCAACACATCACTCATGAGATCAGCCCTTATCTGAAACACAAACAGCTACCTGGAATGCTGGAAAAGGCTGCATGGTCCTCTCTGGAGGTTTCACAGAAATTTCACAGAATATTCTTGAGTTGGAAGGGACCCACAAAGATCATAAAGTCCAACTCTTAAGTGACTGGCCCATATTGGGATCAAACTCACAACCCTGGTGCCTTTAGCACAAAGCTCTAACCAACTGAGCTAATCTCAGGGATGTTTTCAATGGGCTGGCCAGCTACAGAAACAACTCCACTACTGAGCACTGAGATTACTGGCTGTGCCTTGCCTCTGTCTGCCCTGTCTTCATCCAGCTCTTGAAGCTTTTAGTAGGTAACTGAGGAGTCCTCAGTAAGGCTGCGTCTGAAAGGTCTGCCACATTTGAACCACCCTTCTGATCTGGGAGGCATCCTCAAACATGCACTTAAGAAAGCTACTCACCTACATCACTTTGAGAAAAGCTTATTTCTCCCCGACCAGTAACCATTTCTAAGAAGACTCAGGTCCTGCATTTAAGCCTAAATGAATAGAGCCAATCTCTGCAGATTTTGATGTGTAAGGTGAAGGGGGCAAGCATGCTGTAAAATTACTTTCCATGGTACTGAAAACAATTTCAAAATTAGATCAACTTCTCATTTTGCATGCGTAATCTCCAAAGTTTTGGGCTACAGACAAGTCAATTCTGCATGTATATTACGTATAAAATTTCCTTTTCCTGCTGAAGCTAATAACCTTGTCCTCTCTCTAAGCAATTCAGTGCTAGTAATTCCAGAGAGAGCTCAGATGTACAGTGCCATCACTCAAGCATATAAGGATGTGGATATGAAGCCCTTCTTTGAAGGGGAACCCTCCTTTTCCAGCTAGCAAATGTCAAGTGACTCTCCTTGATTTATTTAGCACCTAGCACAGCTTCTAGACTCTAATAGGCCTGATAGTTGTCTGAGCACAACTTGCACTCTTGACTTATCTGCTTTAATGTACAACTTTTAGCTTTGTAAGTAGCTTCTATTCCCACTACCATCATACCACCCTAATTATGTACATAACTGCCATGCCAAGAGTACTGCTAGGATTGAATTCTTAGAAAGTGAATGTCTCAGCACTGTTTTCCTCTGACTTCTCTGCCTCTTCTATTTTAAAACATTTCTCACTCCCCTTCCTCCCAAGCCCAAGCATCTTTGGAAAGACTCCAAAAAAACCCCACCAACCTGTACTAAAGGATGGAAGTTGCTTCCCCAAATCATTCATATTTCCTTTTTATTTTTTTTTTAAACCCAAAGGCCTTAAAAACTAAACTTGCAGTAAATTTTCTTAACTCATTCTTCATGGAATTCGTACTCCCAAGCTGATCAGAAGGGCACAAGCAGTGCTGCCTTCAGCCAGCTGCTTGCTGAGTCTGTGAGCCCCAAGGTGTGGAAGGCTAGCAGAGAAGGGCAGGCCCACGCACACAGAGGAAATGCTGACAGGTGTATGCAGAGGGACACAAAATGCAGCAATCTGGGTGGAGGATATCCTGTACTGACCCATGTGCCAAGATGTAGGTAGAGTATTTCAGAGGCAGTGCAGGTTGGAGACAAGAGAGTTTTCAACCAATGAACTTGGCTCAGCTGGACAGTGTTGCTCTGCAGAAGCTATTCCACAGCTCTGCCTCACACTCTCTCCCATAATACCCTCCTCATTCCAGCTGACCAGGTAGGAATTGCTGACTGACCAGGTGTTAGTTTGGCATGCTTTATGTGCTGTACATCAGTCACATGGGGCTAGATAAGCTGTGGATCTGCTCCATTTCTCTGTGTCCTGGAGGTCTATGTTCAGTATCCCAGTTGAAAATGTGACCTAATTTTGTGACTTCTGAGACTCCTGACTGTTTCCAGCAGAACTGCCATGCAGTGGCTGCCTGTGGCCTGTCACTGCCAAAGACATCTGGGCTTTGTTCTGTTGATCACTTACAATTGGATGGACCACCTTCTCTGGAGTTTCTCAGATGTCCAAGTTTTTTGCTCCTTGCCACGTAAGACCTGCTGCAGAGCCATATATGATGGGGAACACATCAGGCAGCCCTTGATGGTGCAGGCCTGCAGTGAACACGTGCTAGTGACAGCATATCCTTCAGCAGGGCTCCGAAGACTGAAACTGCCACCTCCAGTGTGGAGTGTCAATGCCCGAGATGATCACTGCAGGAAATCAGGAGGCAAATTCTGGAGATGCCAGAAAAGGTCGTGCTCGTGAGCTAAAGCACTGCTGAAAGAGTATCTCATCCATATGACCATTCTGTTGATCAAAGAGAAGTAAAGCTATGCCTCAACTTCCCTGCAAGTTTGGACCTGCTTTTTATGTTGGATTGCACTACCACTGCAAGCAGTTATGCCATTCTGACTGTTCTGAACAGGTGCCTCCTTGCCCACCAGGAGCTGAGCTGCAATGTTGTCCTTCCACAGAGGACAGTGGTTTTCCAAAAGGGGAAAATCTGGTCACCAAATCTGGACCAGTTCCAAACTGACCATCTACAGCCATAAAGATCTCGGAGATCTTGTGTTGACCCAGGGAAGTAAGTCAGCCAGCACCCTCAAAGCAGGATGTCAAACACAGAGGGAAGGAGAAACCTATCTCTGCACATAGTGATGAAGACTGGTAGTGTCTAGTGAGACAGCTGATTTTAATGAGACAGCTGACTCATTTTAATGAGTCAGGCATGAGGTAAAAGAGCAGGGATGGCATAGCTTTATTATCCAGCTCAAAGGATAATAAGCATCTTTTCTGATGCAGACGCATGGGATGTTATCTTGTGCTCCTAAATGCATGCAAAGCCATGCTGCATGGGACAGCGAGACATCTCCTCTGGAAGGGTGTATCACCCATGTTCAGAACTGTGTGGGGAGCCACAAGTGCATTTTACTACAGCTTGCCTTAGTGCACCGTGGGACATGGGACATTACTCAGGTGCCTCAGCCTCTCCTGCCTTTCAACCTGAGTTGCTTCTTTCGTAAAACTTTTTACCCTATCATAAAATCCTACAACAGGTTAGGCTAGGAGGGATTAATGGATCCAACCCTCTGAAAATAAGGACAACTTCAAATTTACATGGCATTGCTCTGAGCCTTGTGCAGTCAAATACTGACAATCTCCGAAAATGGAGATTTCACAAAAACTACCCACCAAGCACTTGGCAGGAATGTGGTTTATGTGGGTCACACAAAGCACTCTATTATCTGTCACCAAATGCAGCCTTACTGACTCTTGTTCTGTAGGGATTATCTGAGAATTTCCATTTTTCTAAGCAGAACTCTCTTCGGGAGACTCAAATTCTCTGCGTTTTGAGGTTAAAATGAAAATATTGCACTAAAGTGAATGAAAGCTGTTTTTCCAGAAGCTTTCCTGAACTGGTATGGTTGAATTTCTATTCATAACTGATTTCTCTTTCATCTGGTGTGTCTTTTCAAGAGTCCCTTCAAAAGGCAACTCAGTCCTGCTCCTCATCCCCAGGGGCAGACAGGCCAGCCAAAAGCTGTGGATGGGACAGGCCAACTGCACTCACCAGTCTGTTTCAGAGGCCCTCGAGCTCTGAAAGCCATGACATTGCCAGAGAAGGGAATGCTCGCATGGGAAACAAATTCCAAAGGCACTGCCATAGGGTGGAGGAAGGGGAATCTCTCCCTTAAATACCTCATCACCTTGGAAGGACACAACAGTCCAGCTGGCACCGGACTCAGGAGATTCCTAAGCATCTGCAGCTAGCTGAGAGGTGACAGGAGCAAAGTCAGTTTTCCTTCCTTTCCCTTCCCATCATCTATGCCCCCAGTCAAGGCAGTCTTTGGAGCCAGGCCTTTTGCACTACGAGACATACCAACAGGCATGTACGTACTCCTCGGCACCCTCGTGCTAATCTTTTGAAAAGAGAAGAGGCAGCTGTACTCCTGCCAGGATCTGAACTGCTTCCAACTCTGAATTAGCTTACAGCAGTTTACCTTCCCTCAGTCAACACTGTGATGCCAGTGAAACAGATTAAGACCACAAAAGCTCTTCCAGCAGTCTTGCTAAACTGATTAAAAGCCAAAGCAGAACACAACAGCCGAGGCTGGTCCATACCCAGGCATGTACCAGATGTTGCCTATGGGGCTCTGATCTCTACTGAATGAACTGAAATGAAATCATAACAAACTGATTCAAACGTGTTTTGAGGGCACTCAGCCTCAATAATCTTGATCCAAAGTGTGTTTCCACTGCCTCTGAGCTGAAAATGTAAGTCCTTCCCTATGCCAGCATATGCTGCGTGTTACCTGAGTGCAATGTACTACACTCAAGTATGTTCCATTTCACACAGAGTTTGTGCCAAGAGAGCCATATTTCAGATCTCTCTTATTAGTGGCCATGAGAGTGTGGGCCGATTTCAGACTGCTGGGCAATGATTCACATGAGGAGATACCCAACAAGCCTTTTCTACATAAGCAATTACAGGAAAAAGCTGCTGTCTTGGCCCAATTAATTTTGTCTCTGGAAACCACCACTGAATAAATTAATATAGCTAGGATTAGAAAGAAGGGAGGGTGACAAAGTTACAGTGTAATATCTGCAGACTTCGCTCCGCTGGCTGTGACCTGCAGGAAATCTGCCCATGGGTTTTTTCGTAATCCTATTAGCCAAGGCAAGAAGGTGGTGTGCTCATGAGGAATGATCTCTGGAACGAAAAGAGATGACTCCCTCCCAAGAAGCTCCCTTCCAAATGAAAACAAGCTGAAATCCTACCAGAGCTCTAAACCACTGTTTCACAACTGCAGTCACTTTCCAGCATGAAGCTCCTTAGGACCACTTTAAGGAAGGAAATATGGCCTCTGGGGAAAGGTGTCTTCCTTTTCCCCTAAGAATTTAAGTGTATTCCCAGCCTCAGTTAATTGTCCTCCCACTTTACCTCCTGAATTATTCTGGCCAGAGGCAGACTCTGTCATCATGACTGAAGACCATCTTTGCCTGTGGAGTGCTTTTCATCACTGGGGACCTCAGAGCAGGGTCACACAAGCCTGGAAGACGGAATGCATTTTCCAAGGAGAAATCAGCCATCACTGAGCAAAAATGCATAAATTCACAGGCAGTAGGAGCAGAGTGCTGCCAGGCAGCAACTGGTGAAATCAACATTCTCCCACGCTGGAATTTAATACTGGCATCCTAGTATGAGCTGCCTGTCTGCCTTACTAAAAATTTTAAGCAGGCATTTTTGGAACCGTGGTCATCAAGCTGCAACTTCTGTTTAGCACCAACATAATGAACACCACTCTCCCAAGCACACTGTTGGCATCAAGTTCCACAGCACCCACACACAAGTGCTTTTAGCCACACCTTGACTGTGCTGTAGAAAGTTGCCATTTAGGATCACAGTGTACTGCCAAAAGAAAAAAAAAAAAGCAGCAGCAGCAGCAAAAAATCTTGCAGCAAGCATGAGATTAATTGCAACTCCCCTGGGGTCTCTCCCTGGGGCCTGGCACAAGAGCTGACAAAGCACACAGCAGCACTAAGGATGAGGCACAGCGAAAGGTGTGTCCTCCCTGGCGCCAGTGGGTAGGAATAGGGAGGAGAAGACAGGGCACGCTACCAAGGAAGGAAAACTAGGATGAAAATGCAGAACAGGAGAAAGACAAGCTCCTGGAAGCTTTGCACACGAGAGTTAGAGTGAGGAAGGCTTTCACACTTCGTTATACTCACATTTGCATTTCTGCTCCTTCCAGCAGGTATTGGAGCAGGACTAGCCCTGGCTAAGTAGAGGGGCACTACCTGGGGAACAGGACTGGAGAAACCTGCCAATCAGACAAGGTCATCAGATAAAATTCAGCCCAAACAGAGAAGATGGACACTACTTCAGGCCATCAGCTCACTGCTGCCATATGCAAGGACTCCTTGCAGGTAACTGACCTACCTTGTGCACCTGCCTACTTCATGGAGCACTGGGTGGAGCACTAGTTTTGTCATCATCCCCACCATGGCCAGATTTGGAGCCAGTCCCTTCCAAGGCTCCCACGTCCGCTCTCAAGCAGGTGCTGGCTTGCTCCGTTGCATAAGCTCAGCACTATTAACCAAGAGAAGACACAATCCTGCCCTACCACACTATGGTCTTCCCTCTGCAACTTCAAACCTGCTTCAAAACTGGGGAGTCCTGAGAAAAACATCCCTTGTTTTAATGGACTAAAACATGCGGAAGAAGCACCGTTCTTGACATGGATCTACCGTGACCATTCCAATGGCCAAACCCCCACGGTCTGCCTTGGCCTGCCTTAGTCTCCTCTGGAGAGCTCCTGCCCCGTGGGATCCGACCCTACCTGCCCAGCCGGTGTACGCGGTGCAGTCGTGCGGGTCGGCGGACTTGAGGCCCCTCTCCATCTGCTGCAGCAGCTCCCTGACTTTGTTATTCAGCCGCTGCGTGAATTCGGGGGTTAGCTGTGGAGAGAAAACCCACCACACGTGAAGGAAACACCGGCGGGCGGGCGGGCGGGCACTGGTACACCGGGGACACCCGGCGGGTGCACAGCCAGGGCACCGCATGTTTTAACCAGGCAGGTCTCTGCTCTGCACACCCCGGGCAGCTCCCCCGGCCCCGCTCACCCTCCCGGCCGTGTCGAAGTAGCCGGTGGCCAAGGACTTGTCATAATCCGCGTAGGGGTTGGGGAGCGCTCGCTGCGCCATCTCGGTCCCGCTGAGCTCGGCTCGGCCGCGGCCCGCCCCGGCTCCGCCCCGGAAGGCGGCGGTGGCGCTGCCGCTGCTCGTCCCTTCCCCTTCCCGCCCCGGGGGGAAAGGGCTTCTGGCAGCGAGCCACCTGGAGCTTGTGTGCCCTTTTCTGGTTGACCCTGTAGGGTTTAAGGCACACTGCAGCTGGCCCTGCCGCGTGCGGGGCCTGTTGCAGCAGGCTGTGCGATTTAGGGGCCCGCGTGGAGTTTAAGGTCCCTTGCAGCTGGGCCTGTGAGGTTTGATGGCCCATTGCTGCTCCGCCCGTGTGCTTTAGGGAGCACTATGGAATTTAAGACCGCTTGCATCTGGATCTGTGGGGTTTAGATTACACTGTGGGGCTAAGGGTCCCATGTAGCTATCTCTGTCTGATTTAGGGAGCCCTGTGGGATTTAGGGCCCCAAACAGGTGGCATTGTGGGGTTTAGGGAGCCTCGTGGGATTTAGAGGTCTCATGTAGTTGGCGCTGTGGGGTTTGGTTCAGCTGGCCCCATGGGACTGGCAGGCCCTGTGGGTTTAGGGCCCCTTGCACCAGCCCCTGAGGATTTTGAAGTCTTGAGGGGACAGGCACTATGTGGGTTTGGTGTGCAGCTGGTGACAGAGGGTCAGTGCAAGGAGCATGTGTTGAGTCCTGCTCCTCTCCAGCAGCAGAAGTTCCTCACTTGGGTTGGGACCAGGCCTGGATGGGGGTCAGGGGCCCTTCCTCACTCTACCCTGCTGAGCTACTGCGTCTCACCTGTGCTGTCTGAGTCACATATTCCTCGAGAAGAGGTAAGGTCCCCATGACTCAATGGCCTGAGCAGTGTTTTTCATCCCAAATGCAATGTAGCTGTGCTGCCCTGACACTGGGGATCTCCCTGCCGTTCTTCTGGGGCAGTGTGACCCTTTGGAGCCACCCACATACAGTGTACCCATATACAGTTACCGGGGAGCATTCACTGGGCTCTCTTGTCCTTGTGTGCTGTATTTCTGCACCCAGGCCTTGCTGCCTGCACAGTAACTGCTGTCACTGGGCCCAGCTCCCCTTTTCTATCCATACGCCCAGTTTTTATTGCAATGTGTAAAGTCAGAGCTCAAAGAAAAAAAATAAATTGTTTCAGGAGATGGTGAGAAACAAACAGAAAAGAGGGAATCCCAATTATTCGATTCCTTTTTCAGTCAGCTGTTCTTGTTTAGTGAATTTCAATCTTGTCAACATTGCTTTGCATTCAAGGCAGGGAGATGAAGTCCAACCCTTCATTTTTTTTAAATTTTTTTTAAAATATTTTTAAATTATTTTTTATTTTATATATTTATTTATCTGAGAGGATTTCCTCGGGTCTGGTGTGCCTGGTACCATGTGCTTATATTTTGCTATACGTCATGCGAGCCTGAGCGGAGCAGTTAATAGCCGAACAGCTTTGTAGCGACCTGTCTCCAGTGTCGGTAGCAGCAGCAGCATCCCATTCAAGCTATAACACATCTCTAAATGCAGCGTGGTAGCTTTAGCCGATCGTCCAGGGCTCAGCCACTAGATGACTCTGTCACACAAGGAAGAAGAGGGAGGAGCCCGGCTCTGCTTCGCACAGCGCGAAGGCAGCCGTGCCTTTCTCCGTGCGGGGCGAGTGGATGTTTGCTGCGTGAGTAAGGAGCAGAGAGCAGTGGTTCTGTGCATCAGGCCAGAACTCCTTGGAGAAACACGCGTAGCAATCTTGAGATTTAGGCACAGCACAAAAAGAAAATGGATCAGCATTTCCACATGTATGCTTTTCTACATACAACTCCGCTAAGACTGGACCTCACTGTCCCCAGGGAAAAGGCTGCCCCTGACTAAAACACTGCAGAAAGGCAGGCTTGGATGCGGACCTAGGAACACTATTTCATACCCTGGACGTGTCCCTAACCCTGCAGGGTTTATTTTTCTCTGGAAAAGCGGAGCTGCTGTGCTGAGGATTACGAAAGGAGGACTCATCCCGGCTGACACAGGGCCAGCACAGCTGCCTGTTGCTCAGCCACAAGCCATGCTGGCCGTGCCAGGAGATGGTGCCACACTTTATTCTCCAGAGAGTGACATCTCTTGATGGGTTGCTGCCTGGAACACAGGAACAGAGCTTGCTGTGTGCCGGAGAGTTTCCTGCTCTTCTTGCATTTTAGATATTTTGCCCTGTTTTTGGTTTCAGAAGGGCTTTTCAAAGCTTGGCCATTAAGGATTGAAAATATTTTGCCAACTTACAATGTTGCTCAAAGCCTAGGGGCAGTTTTTTCACTACATTCTCACACTCGTGTCTTGCTATCTTTCATATGTATTATTTAAGGCAAGTGGAGGGTGGGAAAAGGAAATGCATAACACCACAGCATATCCAGTGTGGTCAGCTTGTAAGCTGATGACTGTCAAAAGATAAAGAATTTCTCATTCCTTATTTTGCTTCGATGTTTTTCAGTTATTGTTTATTTGCCTTTTGGAGAAGCCTAAAATGGTTTGCATTGTGAGTTTTTCAGGGGAATGCAAGCAATGAAAAGATTAAATTAATCTCAGTTCCCCAAGTGATCCTTTGCAAATCTGGAGAGAGTATATGTTAGCTGAATGGCAGGATGGATAGATATGCTTTTAGGGACCCTTACTAGAGAGCATAGTGGCTATCAAAATGGGTGCTGTCCCAACAGAAGGAACACAGTAGCTTGAATTAACAGATTTATTCACATCTTTAGCTGCATCTCATGGAATCCATTTTCCTGGACAAAAAGCAGAATTGGCAACAGAAAGCAGTCTGAATTGCCCCAGCTCCAGCCATAGTCATAGCTGGTACTAGACTGATGCTTAAACACAGCTCTCCATATTTCTTCCACAATATTCTGCCTTTATTTTCCCTCTGGGTTCTTGCTACTGAAGCAGCAGCCTTTTCTGCCTCTCCCAAGCAATTATTGACACTTCTGGTGCCTGTGAAATTACAGTCCATCTGTTGTAGGGAGCTGATAATGAAAGGATGGTGGTAAATAGAAAACTGGAAGCATTCACATTGTATCAGCACGGATGTTCTACCTGCTGGATCGCACAGGTAAATGTGCTAGGGGCAGAGTCTGATGAAAAAACCTGTATTTGCCAGGATGTGGTGTTGTGGTAATGGTCAGGAGAGGAGGAGGGCTGGGGCAAAGCCTGGAATTTGTATGGATGAAGGCTTTAAGCTTCACAGGAATCAGCAGAATAAAAAGTTTGAGTATTTTCCAAAGTCATGGCTTGAGACCAATTTCTTCTGCTGTTCATGCTGGAAATCAGACCCATGCTGCCCAAAATGAGCATCCAGACTCTTCAAAGCATGCTTCTGAGCATGCTGCAGCTGTAGGTGGATTGTTAGGGCCAGAAGGGAAGGAGAGAGAGAATTTGGCTATCTGGAAAGGTTAAATGTAATTGCAGGAATGCATGACTGGCTGACTCAGTGGTAACACTTCTGTAAAGCATTCTTCTGGGGATGGTATCCCTACAGCCCTGCCTACCAGCTGATATTCTCTTTCCACTATATCAATATTCTGTATTTTTCAATCTATATTTCCTCCCTCAAGTCAGAAATGGAAAACTGAAGCTCTTCTTGACCATGTAGGGCCTATATAAGTCAACTCCTCATATTTGCTGTGGTCTCCAAAGCACAAGCTGTCGTTGAGACCTCTGTGATCAGAGTAATTAAATGAAAACTTTTCAGTTGTACTTAGCTCTTGAGGATTTTTGTCAGGTTAGTGCAATTTCAATGCAATGGATGTGGTAGTTTATGGTTGGTTTGGTTATAATAAATTGTACCATGATGGAATCTATAGGAAGTGAAAATAAATGAATAGAATTGATTTTTTTTTTATTTATGGCAGTGGATAACAATGGAAAACTGAGTATTTAAATTAATTTAATCAGTATAGGAAAGTGAACAAGCTACCTTTGTGCTATTCTGCTTTACAATTTGATTGCTCATTTTACTAAAATCTGATATAATTATAACCACATCTGTTCATGAAGTTAACTGTCTCAACACTAAACTCTCTATCTAGGGCTCTTAGTTGCAGGTGGCATAAAGACACACACATATATTTAATATATTCAGGCCCCAGCTTTGACTCCTGTGGGACTAAGCCCACAGATGTGGGTGTTTATTTTTTTCTTCTAATGTTGTCACTCCTGACTCGGGAAGTGCAAGGAACTTGATCCTAGTAAGTTCAGAGGAGAGTTGTCAGAGCATTACCCAGACAGGCCTTTTTGGTGGCTCCAGCTCTGTGGTTACTTCTTGTGTTCTCACAGAGGAAGTTCAGAAGAAAAAGGAAAAGTGTTTTGTGTTACCTTGGCCTTATCAGTGTGAACGGGGGCTCCCTAGTTTTCCTCAGTGATCATATGCTTTGTCTTTCCTGAAGCTGAAAGAGGCAAAATGGTTCAGTATTTGAGATCCTGTCTTCTTCAAAAGAAAGAACTAGAACCCTTCTGCCTTTGGACATATAGTGATTTCTTCCCATGGGATGATTAATTTAAATCCTGCTGAACATTTTTTGGTGTCCGAGTGAAATGAGTGATGGGGACATTACACTGCAGAATATCTTCAGGGGAAGGGCAAGCCTGATTGCACCCAAAGCCTCAGCCCTGGTCCCACTCATGTCAGCCAGGGCTGCGTGCCCTCTTTTAAGGTGGGCAATAAAAGCCCACGCTCAAAAGCACAGACTGTCTTTAGGTTGTTGTGGAGAGGAGCCTATTTCTGGGAATTTTGCTCAGGAAAATGCTGGTGTGAAGAGCTGTATTTGTTGAAGTACAGCAGTATGTATTACCCCCAGCCACCAGAACAGGCTGGGGGCTGACCTGCTGGGAAGCAGCTCTGTGGAGAAGGCCCTGGAGGTCCTCATGGACAACGAGCTGTGCGGTGTGCCCTGGGGGCCAGGAAGTCAATGGTATCCTGAGGGGCATTAGGAATAGCTTTACCAGCAGGTTGAGGAAGGTGACCCTACCCCTTTATTCATTCCTGATGAGGCCACATCTGGAGTGCATTTCTGGGCTCCCTGGGACAACAGAGACATGGAGCTCCTGGAGCAGATCCAGTGGAGGGCTATGGGGATGATTAAGGGACTGGAGCATCTCTCTTAGGAGGAAAATCTGAGGGAGCTGAGCCTGTTCAGCCTCTAGAAGACATGACCAAGAGGGAACCTCATCCATGTCTATCAGTACCTTCGAGGGGATGTCAGGGGATGGACCAGGCTCTGCTCGGTGGTGCTGAGCAACAGCACAAGAGGTAACGGGCAGGAACTGATGCACAGGAAGTTCCACCTGAACACGAGGAAGAACTTTGCTGTGAGGGTGACCGAGCACAGGATCAGGCTGCCCAGAGAGGGGGTGGAGTCACCCTCACTGGAGAGAAGAGGGGAATGGGAAGAGTCTGGATGCAATCCTGTGCCATGTCATCTAGGATGACCCTGCTTGAGCAGGGAGGTTGGATCAGGTGACCCTCTGTGGTTCCCTCCAACCTGACCCATTCTGTCATCCTATGTATGGCCAGGTATAAAACCTTATCTAGTGTCTGTCATCCCCATGGAGCATGATATAGTTTATAACTGACTCACTCCTAAAGCTTCCTCACTGTTTTAGCAATAGTATCTGAACAGACAGTGCTGGAGTTCTCAGGTTAAAGTCCTGGCAGCATCAATTACTTCTTCAAACCTCTTTGCTCTCCAGCCCTAAAAATGTTTTTTAGTCAGTCAAAATCATGTCCCTTCTCCCCCATCCCAGCTAAAGGACATTACAGATCCATATAGCAAGACTTTTCTGTGTTCTTTAAAGAGAGATCTTCATTCTCAGGCATGTCTTTGCCTGATACATATCTGTAAGTTAAAGCAAATGCTTCAGTGTATAGCCCAGTGTACAACAGCCAAAGCTTTTTATCTTTTTTTTTTCTCCCCAGGGTAACCACAGGAGACAAAAAAAAAAGGTAGGAGTGAGGGGAAGAAAACAACAAAAGAATTTTGCAAATCCTTCTGATCTGGAGCAGCAGGCATAAAGCAACAAGGAAAATACTGATTGATTAAGGATGCTGTATATAAGGTGAAAGGCCAAGGCCACATTAAGTAACTCCTTCCCACCAAAACCAGGAACAGCTAGCACTAGAGAATATTATTAGTGGGGTACTTCTTGCTCAGGACAAGCTTGGTTGAGTAGGACTGGGAGATGACACTACCCAAATGCTCAAGGACTGGTCATGTGTTCTACCATTTCAGTGGAGCTGCTTTTTGCTCAAGATGAGGGTAGCTTTAGTCCTGACCCAATAATGTGCTGTGAACAATAAGCCTGTTTTATCTGGGCTTTGTTTTAGTCCAGCTAGGTGTCCCACCAGTGGCAGTTCCTGTGAATCAAATTTCAGAATTGCCTGGCTGTGAGCACATGTCGTTCTAGGAAAATATATATGCCCTATAACATGCCTTTCTGATGTGGCTGATCTCTTCTGATGGATGCTTTCTGTCTCTACTCAATTCCTTACTTCCCTTCTGGGTCTCCCTGGTCGTTGGCCTGAAATCACAAACCACACAGTGGTGTGTGATGGGTCTGGCCAAGAGCATCCATCCTCAAGGAGGAAAGGCTGGACCAAATGGTCAAAATGCCCATGAAAATTATTTGGTCATAGGATTTTTTATTTTAGTGAAGTTATAGTTAACTGGGGAAAAAAGGAATATCAAGTCAAAGAAAAATGCCAAATCTTGAGCAAATGTAGCTAACCTTGCATTGTAAGGTCATGTAAACTGTGTTTCTGTAGCACTTTTTGTAAAACCAGTTTGATCTTTTTTGTGATCCGTGGCTACAAGCCAGAGAAATGTATGAGCCTATGGAATCACAAGGGGAAAAAAATGACTCCTAATCCTGGTCCCCATTTCTGAAAATGTCAGGGAATGGGAAATCTTTCTGCCTTCAAACATCTTCCAATAAATAGAGTTCAGCTCCTGACTGAAGTCAGACTCCTGTCAGGTAGCTCTGAGATTCCTAGGGCCAGTCTCCCTTGGTTGCATCACCATGAAAATAAGAATTATGTCTGAGGTGGAGCAAACTGCACTTTGGGTTGTCATTATTACCCTTGGGCAGCGCTCCTCTGCCGGTTCTCAGTTTTAGCCAGCTAAGGGCTTTCTGCAATCGGCCTTTTGGAGTCGTGTCAGTCTCTTCCAGACACTGCAAAGGTTTCTTCCAAGTCAGCTGATCCAAGAGGAGCTGCTAATCCCAGTGGCAATGAAATTTGACCCATCTTCAGGGTGTTGATTCTTTCTCTCTTGCTGAAGATAAGAGCCTTATCTTTGTGAAGTTTGGGTGAATCATGGGCTCCATATCCCAGACAGCAGAGGAGTGTACCCTGAGCTGCTCAAGCCTCAGAAAAAACTATAAACTCCTTGAAAATGGATTTTCTTGAACTGGGAATAGATATGTAACAGTCTTGTTGCTAAGCATTTTATAAACTTTACTGGTCAAAAGGCTGTCTTGATTACAGCTTACAGATAAAATTTGAAAAAGAAGTGAGGTGCCAAGGTAGACAATTCAGAATAAAAAATAAGGTTGCCTTTTTTTTTTTTTAAAGTTCTTTCGCATTGTCTTGTTTGAGATTTTCAATTATTCTGTTAACAGTATTTTTTATTTACACGACGAAAAGTCTGTATTAGCTTTTAAAACTAGCATGTAGGATGTGAACTGAAATTGTCACAGAGGCTGTTGATTGATAGTATCCCTCTGGGATTTGCTACCACCCCTGGGTACTTTAGTTGTTTTGAGGAATGTTTCTTTTGTTTTATGAAACTGTGCGTAGGGCATGAGGGTCTGTTTCCAGAGTAAGATATTTACCTTGAAGAACTGAATTGCTCTTAGCTGTCAGCCAGACTGAACTAATATTTTTGAAAAAAAAAAAAGAAACTGCATCTCAGTTTTATTCTGATACTTTTTGCCATTCCAATTACAATATCAAAATTAAAGTCTTCATTTATTGTGTTAACTGAAATTTGCTTTTCAGTTTGTGTTTTGAAAACAAACAAGAAAAACAGAAGGAAAATTTTAATTTAAAAGAGGAAAAATATATTTCTTTTAAAAAAGTTCTGCAGTAGTGCAAATAACTACTTGCAGTACTTAATAAAATCAGATTTTTAGCAACTCCTTTTAAAATATTTCTTTATACTTTTTTTGTTTGTTTGGACTCCCCCCAAAAATTGACATTCAATCAGATTCAGGGAGATGTTTTAAGTTATAGGTAATGTGTTTTCCATCCAAAAGTATGAATGTATCCATGTTTCCTTTGGATTGGGCTTTTGTCAGCCAAAGACCACGAGGAGAATAGGCTGTATTTTGGAATTTTGTATCTCAAGCCCACCAAAATGAAATTTGCCCATTTTATTCAAAGCACATTGTGTTTTCCTTTAGATTACATTGGCTAAAGGCTCAGATCTGTGTGTTCTCCTCTCACCCAGAAAGACTTGTTTTCTGTGAGTGAGGACTGCAGGGTTGGGACTTAGGAATAAGATTTCATTTTACTTTTAAATACAGATTTCATACTGTTTTTCATATTGATTATTCCCTCCTGCGGGAAATAGTTAAGGTTTGGTAGGATTCTTGCCATTTTTAGTGCAAGGGGCAGTCACAATCTGTCCTTGCAGGACAGAATCAAGTAGAAAAGTGTATGAAAACAAAGGGAAAAGATGTAAGGACAAGAAGTAATTCTGCTTTTCAGGCTGACTTCTACAATCCAGTTATAGCCATTGTTAAACTCTTTGCAGCTTTATCTTTGGAAGCAGATGAAACTGTCCTTGTATTTTCTCCATGTTTCTTTGGCTAGTAGGGAGAGAGGATTAACCAAAAAAAAAAGTGTGAAGATAGAAAAAGGCCAAAAAGAAATGAAGCATCTGATCATGTAACTGCCCTGATATGAACTTGCCATCGTTATGAATGCTGTGAGTTAATTTTTTCCAGATGTTCTCCCTACCAATTTTTACTCAACCAAATTACTCAATAGCTGGTTTTCTTCAACAGGAGGGCATTTCTCAGAGACACTTGCAACCGAAAGGGCAGATTTTTGGAAACTCTGTAAAGTGAAGTGGTCAGTGAAATGAATAATGGAAACAATGGAGTGACTGGGAATGGGGAAAACTGAACTTCTGTAGACAGGGAGGGTGAGTTCTGTCCTCTGAAGTGTGCTGAAGGGAAAGCAGCTTTCAGGAGCATGGTGAGTTGGAGAGTCATGTCAAGGAGCTGGGAGAATGTTACTCATGCAGAGAAACTGTGAAAGGAAACAGAGAGCAAAAAGCCAAGTCTCAGGTGTAGAAAGGACATGGGACCAAAGAGGACTGGGCAGTTTGCATCTCAGGAAGGCACTGAGTTGGATGGAAAAGAAGCTGCAAGCAAGAGCACACCTATAAGGGCACAGTGGGCAGCTAGGAACAGTCCATTTCTACTTCCTGTTCTTGCCTTGACACTTGGAATTGTTTCCATCTAAAAAACCAAATCATCTGAGTTTATATTGAATCATTCCTCTCGCAATCATGTGAGTTAGTAAGGCTGGAACAAAATGCAGTAGCCAAATCTGAAGATCTGCTATGAACTGCTCCCATTAAAATTTAAAATACCCTTTTCCCCAAACCTCCTCTAAAATAGAACAAACTCTGTGGAAAAAAACCCCGTGTTCTGGCTATGGCTTAAATAACAGAATTCAGGAGAGGTGTAAGACTTGCATTTGATTCTTATTCCTTTCAGTTTCTCTCCATATACTCAGGTGAAGGTCAGCCTTAGTTTTGAAATTCTCAGCTTTTTTCACTTTGAATCACAGTAACCATGTTTTCTAAACATTGTGGGGTTTGCTTGAAATGCTTGATTTGATCTGAGAGTGACTCAAAACAACATGTCTGAGCTTGATTTCTCTCCTTCAGAAATCCAAGAGGACTGGGTGATGGGGCGTGTCTGGATGCTGTTAGTTCATCTGCATGTAAACAAGAGAACTTCAGTTTATTCACCCACTACGTACTGCAACCAAAGTAAGTTATGGTCTCTGAGGTAACTGGGTTTGATAAAGTTGTTAATAGTAAGCTGTGATCATAAATTGTTATCTTGCTCTCCAGTGATCATGCTTGATAAACTAACACCTGATTAGAAAATGTATGGCAAATCTTAATATTTTTCAGATGCTTTCAAAACTCTCCCTTATAAGTTTCTTGGGAAGCAAGTGGAGCTTGCCTTGAAATGGGGGAGAGGTTTCCAAATCACTTTGAGGGCTTTTCTGTGAGCTGCATGGATGAAGGAGAATATTTGTCTCTTCCCTGTGGCAGCAGAGAATCTCAGTTTTGCTGCAACTTTCAATTATTCTGCTTTTCCAGTCAATATTTTTCAAATGTGATTTAGTGGAGACAAGACAGGGTGGTCAGAAATCAGGTGCAACTTGACAGATGGCATGAGAGATTTCCAAAAGCATCTGAAGGACATATGGGGGGAAAAAAATTCTTCTCTGATCTCAGCTACAAGAAAGAGAGTCCAATCAATTCACACAGGCTGCTTCTTGCACTGATCCCAAACCATGGGAGACTTATGCCACTGGAGCTCCACTGAGCTGGAAGCAGTTACTTGGGACTTGCACTGATGTGAATCTGACCCAACGTGCCCACAAATTGGCCCTGATCTCTTGTCTTTCAGGCAAGAATGGAACTATCTTGTGCTATTTACAGACAACTTGAAATGAAAAATCCTGCATCGCTTGGTTGCTTTATAGCAGAGCTTCCCAGCTGTGACAAATGGCTTTGGGAGCTTCCATTTTGGGGTGCCAGTTCTGGGGCACCAAAGCAGGGCCCCAATTGCTCTGAGCACTTCTCTTCTGAAGATCATGCAGTTTGTTTTAAGCCTCTGAAAATGCAGGCACTTAGCTTTCTTTGAATGTCTCAGCCTTGGGAATTTGGCCACAGACCGCTGATTTTGTTTGATTTTTACAGTACAGTGGGATTGTGTAATGAATTTTGTTTCTGGTGTTTTGCACTTGTAAACAGTAAGAAAAAGCTCCTCATTTTAATGACCACTTTGCTCTCCTTGTCCTGCTCCCTCTCTGCATATGATGGTGTAAGTGAATATAAGACAAATGGCACTCTGCCTTTCCTAAACACATAAGACATGGTAAGGAAGCCAGAGTTGCAAGTACTTCTTCGCTTTCTCCCCAGCATTTGAACTGTGCTTGTCTGAGTGAATCTTCTGCCTTCATGGCTTTACATTCCTGATTCCTCTGATACATGTCCTTTCTCAAGAGCCCCTGCCCAAACTTTCTTTCCTGAATAGGCAGTGTAATTGTGAGTCATGTACTGGTAGGCAAATGTGAAGCTCAGGCATTGTGGTTGTATCTCCATAAAACCATTGGTCTTTTCTCTTCTTCTGCTATTCTGTAGTTGGTTTCTTTTTCCTTATTGATTCAATTTTTTCTTGATTCTGCCTCTTCTAGTCTTTATGTTAAGGGAAGAGCATACTTAAAATTTGTCCAAACCACAGAAGGCTTGTTTATGCGTTGGCAGGTTTTTCTGAACTGAGGCTTCTCTAGGGAATACCTGATATATTTTCTGGCCTTAAAGTGTCAACAGTGTCAACCTCTTTTTAACATGTTGGCAGTGAAACAAATAGGTTAGCTGTTTTCCCCTGGTTTTGGCAGAGGGAAGTTCTTTCATCATGGAGGAGGCTTTAAGAAGGCAGGTGGTTCTTATGCTGCAGGCATAACCTTCCTAATGTCAAATGGTCTGAGTTGGGCCTAATCAATTTGGGCAATAAAACATAGATGGAAAAAAGGAAGACAGCAGGGTCAAATCTACACCACTAGTCAATGGAGCATCCTTGGGAAAGTAGTTTTTTGCCTGTTGTTCACCCATATAGCATTTAATCTGTAATATACAGCTGCCACATTAGATCTGTGGATGTACTGCAGATCCCTGATACACTGAACACAGTTCATGGTGTGGTTTTGCAGCTGTTTGCACCTGCAAGATCCCACTCTGTCAAAAAGCACAGTCTGTTTTCTGCTCATTCCTTATGCCCTGTGTTCATGAATGGCCTTGTGGTGAAAGGAATGGGTGGGCTTTTAGCTAGATCCATCAGCAGCTGCATTGAAACTCAAGTGCAATCCAAAAATTCACTTATAAGCATGTCTTTGCTTTCTGGATCACTACAGGCTAGAGCCAAGCAAATAGAGGAACAACTCACAAAAACATTTCCCAGTCCCTTGTATTTATTTTTTTTTGTTTATCTGAAATCTCAGTCTCTCAATTCCTACGTATCAGAATGATAATTAGGTATCTTCTTGTAGGAAAAATGGTTCTGTCTTTCCTAAACCACGCTGAAGTTATCAGGAACATTGTTGGTTTGCTTCTTCCAGCTCTGCACACTTGTAAAGCCCATGTTAAAGCAGTGAGCTCCTCTACACCCAGTCTATCTTCCACCCTATCTCTGTCTATCTCTTTCAATTATCTGGATTCAGGCCTTTCCCATGTGTTTCTCACTCAGATCTCCAAAAAATCACACAGGATACCCAAACCCATTGCCCTCTCTTCTCTGTCTTTTATTATGTGCAGGACTGTTCAACCTGGTGCTATAATGAGCTGCACAGGAAATATTTTTATGTGGTACTGGTGTCAATTTAGACTAATCTCAAATGACTGTATACAAAGAAGTCATGATTATTACTGTCAGTGATTAGAAAAATCCTTTACATCAGAATGTGTCCAGCTGCACAAAAAATGTCTGTTTATATATCTCTGTTGCTTTTATGGCTCTGAGCCAGCTGAAGCTTTGATTGCCTGGGTTTCAAAAGATGCCTTGCCATTTTAGTTCTTGAAGAATAATAAATGGGCATGCTTCTCCCACAGCTTTTGTCTTAGTTAGGCATTTTCATCCCTGGGTAATGAGCATGATTCTTTATGAAGAGTGTAGTGTAGAGTTATAGGAAATACATAATAGTCACAAAGGTCTGTAGTCAGTTAGGAGATAACATATGGAACATTTCACCTTATTTCAGCTGTTGGCCACTGAAATGTCACCAAAAGATGATTTTCTTTTGCAGCCATTTATTTTTCCTGTCGAAAAATTTACTTTTATTTCATATTTCATTTATTTGAGGAGGGGCAGCACTTTGGAACACTTTTAGTGCTTCTATTGACTGCATGCTCTCCAAAGACAGAATAAAATACTATGCCTTCCCACTTCACTCCTTTGAGTACAAGTATGCTTGTAGCAGCCACAGGCTGTCCCACTAGCCAGTGTGCAGACTCCACACTGGAGAGCTCTCACAAGCACACCATGAACAGCCTGGCTCCTGTGCAGTTAGGAATCACAGAATGGTTTGGGTTGGAAGGGAACCTTGAAGATCATCTCGTTCCACCCCCCTGCTGTGGGCAGGAACACCTTCCACTACACCAGGTTGGTCAGAGCCCCGTCCAGCCTGGCCTTGGACACTGCCAGGGATGGGGCAGCCACAACTGACCTGGGCAACCTGTGCCAGGGCCTCACCACCCTCACAGGAAAGAGTTTTTTTCTCAATACCTAATCTAAACCTACTGTCTTTCAATTTGAACCCATTCCCCCTTGCTCTGTCACTCTTGTAATCTTGGGGTGGCTTTGCTATCTGCCAGCTGGTGTCTGGCCTGTGTTGCAAACCCTGTGACAGCACTCAGAGACCAGCTTGAAGAGAAGTGTTGCAAGGGTGCCTAAGCAAGCACTGCTCTGAAGAGGGGCGGGCGGAGGTGGGGCTGCACCTGGGACTTTTCATGGCAGAATAAATGGGAAGGCCTAGGGCAGTGCTGTACAGTCAGTCCAGCACACCTGCTGGGCCTCTGTTCTCTTTCCCTGTGATCTGCAAGAGCATATTGCCAGCACCACATCTTGAAGAAATACATACAAGCAGATTTTTGTTTTCTCTTGTGTTCTTTAAACTTTAGTTACCCATCAGCAGCTTTCAAGATGACAGGAATTTTGACAGCTTGCAAAGTGGTGAAGACTTTGAAAGGCAAATTGAAGTTTTGCAATGTGTCTGCTGATCACTGGAGTTTCTCAAGGACAGGTCCCAGGCTGTTGAGCATCAAGGTAACAGTGACTGAACTACTGTGGTTTAATAGATGTGTTTGGCATGCAGAGATAGCTTGCTGCAGATAACAGGGCTTACCTAGAGGCATGAACCAGAGGAAATTTGTCTGAACCCCAAGCAGGGGGGTTGCTTGGCTAAATGATTTTATTAGCTAAGCAAACACACTTTTTGTGTAGTCTGGAATGGAAATTATAGAATAGATTGCACCAAAAGGTGGAAGTTCAGGGTTTCAGTTAATTATTATATATTATTTTCTTTAGAAACCCCCCCCCCCTTTCTATAGGACTGATAGCTAACAGAGTGGATCTTTCAGTCCATATGAGCTTGAATCAGCTGGATATTTAAAATCATGCATCCCTTGAATTATGTGATTAATCCTATTGAATCCATACAGAATCCATTCTTAATATATTGGAAACCACAATGGCTCTGAGATTAATTGAAGAGGTAGACATCTCTTTGTGAATGCATCAGGGTATCAGTTCTTGATTTACTGGGGCTGGGACCCCTCAGTTCACTTCCTCAACTTTCTTCTGCTCTTTGTTACAGGAGTTGCATTTTACCATCTTTGCTGATGTTACCTGGACAGGTGTGGCAGAGTACAGGGGTCAAATGGGACTTTCTGTATGAGTTCTGTAGATCTGGCAGGGTTCTGTTAGCATGCACTTTGCATTGAAAAGGCACTTTTGCACATGTATCCTGTTGAATGAACAGTGTAATAGAATTAGCAACTGGAAGAGTGGTGTTTCAGAGGGTGGTAGGAAAGAGCAGTAAGAGACCCGGGCTGTGGGTGCTGCCTTACCTGGCAGGGTGGTCTAGAGGGCTGATCAGGATAATTTCTGTTCATTGAGAACTAGGGTTTTGCTTACCTGTCCCACAGGAAAAATGAGGTCTCACTCATTTTTCAAGAGTTCTCAGATGGTATTATCTCGAGGTATTAAAGAACCCTATATATATATATATTTCTATTTTAAAGTAAAACTCCTGGCTGAGCCTGTGAGCTTGCGGCTCTGGGACTGGGGTGTTACAAGTTTTCACCAGGCTTCTAACAGAGCAGAGGTCCTGTCCAAAGCCCAGTCAGAGGCACCCAGGCCATCTCTATGCTTTGCAATGCTTTAAGTGCGTGGTAGCTTTCTGTAGTGATAGGTGCAGTGAGATTAGTGACCAACCTGTCACTTTAATTTGGTCTAAACCTGGGGAATTTAGCTGCAAAAATGCTGTTTATAACTGAGGAGGGAGGGGATTTTGGTAGTGTTGACTAAACCATCCAACGGCATGGGAAGGTTTAGAAAATGATGGCTAAACCTTTGGAGAATGACTGGATGTTTGACATTAATGAGGAAAAAATGGCAAGGCTAAAAGCATCCCAGATGCACGGAATTCAATTACTTGGCAGTGCAGTTTGATTTTTAGTGTATTTTGCAGTACATTAGTAATTGATCTGTGTGGTATTTGTAGCTGCAGAGGGGCTCTAAATGAATGTTTGTCATGATGGTTACAAAATGTTCAATACTGGGAATGAAATTTCTCCTTGCTGTGATTGTTCATGTGATTTACAGCTAATGGAAAGTGGCTCTCCTGCTCCTTTCTGCAGCAAATAGATCTTGATTCTTCCTTTAAAAATCCCAGTAAGAGGAATTGTTCTGCAAAAAAAGCCAATATGAAGCTAAATCATGGTGAGAGATGCTCCCTGTGGACATGCTTGGGACATCTCCTGTGGCGCAGACACAGGAGTTTTTTTGCACTGGTGGTCACTCTGCTGCAGCTCTGGGCCCAGGAGGCAGCTGTGCTTGCCTCCCAGAAGTGGAAGTTTCTCAGGGCCCTGAAGTTTATCATCCAAATTTCTTTAAGCTCTAAAATTCACTGGCAGATTTGTTTCTGGCTATGCTAACTCCTTCTCTTCCCCAGCATGTCACCCGTGATCCTCTGTCTAAGGGAATCTCCCAATTCATTCTGTCATTCCTGCTGTTCATGCAGTAATTACTTTTTAATAAATGCTGGAGTTCTCAGGTGATTTCTCATCCAATGCCTGGACAGTCTAAGAAAGGCTTAGTTTCAAAATGTGGCCAAAGTGGGTGTGTTTAGTCTGGTATGTGCAAAAAACCCAGCTGTGACACAATCTCTTAAGGACTTCTGTAAAATTCACTCTGTCCCCCATTTCCCTTGGCTGTAAAATATTGATGAAGCCTGTAAGGGATCCCACAGTTAGTGTGGGACTCAGTTCTGCTAAATACTCTCTAGAAGAGATATGGTTTCCTGTAGACTGCTTGTTCCATAGCTGCCTCTTCCAGGACAATTTTTTGCCTATCCGTGAGGTAACTGAAACCATGAATGTCCAGCTCATCCACGAGTTCTCCTGATTTTGTGTCCTAGAGTGGAACAGAGTGGTATTTTGAATTTTGCTGTCTGACACCAACTAAACATACACTTATTTTTAGCAGCTCAGATGTACAGTTGCAGCAGAAGTTAAACACCTATCAAAGGTCAGAGCTGGATGGGAGCCAGCAGACTCAGCAGCAAGCCTTGAGCAAACAGTGAGGGGGCAGTCACAGGGTTATGATGTTGGTTAATTGCAAGATATAAGAAATGAACAAAGTGATGGGGAAGGGTGATCCCACAGTAACAGCAGCACATGCTCTGCTTGCAGTGAGGTTTGCCAGCTCATTAGGAGGGCAGTGTTTCCCAAGTGTTAGAAAGAAAATCGGCATCGTGAGACTGGTAAAAGAGATGACAGCTGGGAATGGGAGAGAGGCAGGAATACTTACAGTGTGAGGCATGAAAGGCAGGTGTCCCAGGTGTTACCTGTATAAACATCAAGTCTTTCCCTCCTGTATTTGAGTCTCTTCATGTGCCTTTCTCTAGGCGCAGACAGCGAACTTGGTGCTGGAAGATGGGACGAAGATGAAGGGCTATTCTTTTGGCTATCCATCCTCCACAGCAGGGGAAGTCGTATTCAACACTGGGCTCTCTGGGTAAGGCAACAGCAAATGAGATACAAGCATCAGTATTTCTCTGGAAGCTTGTTGAAGTGTCAAAGCTGCGTTTTCCAAGCTCGCAGCGTCCTGATCCAAGCAGGTAGTTTTCTATATAATGGTACATTGTAGTCCGGGGATACAGAGAGACAAATAATTAATGAAGAAGCTTCAGGCAGTTCTCTTGGGTCATAGCATTTGAGGTGATAAGGACATTTGAAGACTGATCTAACTATGATAGTGAGGTACACAGGAATGCGATCACTTCCCACTGAAATGCTGCCACTGCTGAGTCAGAGCAGAGAAGGTGTCTGTTCTCCCTCCAGTGCCCAGATCAAATATAGAGGTTTGAAGCATCTGCTGCCTTCTGGGTAATGGAAATTGGCCTCCGGGTGCAAAATTTTTAAATCCCGAGGTTCCTATGTTGGTCACCTGTATGACCCATCCCTTATGGCGTTTCTTGGCTCATACCAGTAAGGATACATTAAACTCTGTGCCCTTTCCAGCTAAAGGGTAGGATCAGATTCATGTCTGACCTAGTGTTTTGGGTCTGGCTGAGATGGAGTTCATTTTCCCATAGCAGCCCTCACAGTGCTGTGCTTTGCATTGGTAGCTAGAAAGGTGTTGATAGCACAGCCAAAACACTTTTTGGCTACTGCTGAGCAGTGCTGGCAAACCATCAGCACTGTTTCTCAATATTCCCCACTCCCCCGTCCCCCTCAATCGAGGGCAAGATCCTGGGAGGGGAAACAACCAGGCCAGACCCAAACTAACCAAATGGATATTCCAGACCATATGATGTCAGCTCAAATATAAAAGCTAAGGAAAGGAGGAGGAAGGAGGGGCATTCATTGTTTACAATGTTTTCCTGCTGAGCAATTGCTATGGTTGCTGAGGCCCTGCTTCCTGGGAAGTGGCTGGATACTGCTCATTAATGGCAGGTAGAGAATAAACCTTTTTATTTTCCTCTTGGCTTGTGCGTGCACAAACTTTTGCTTTTGCTTCAGTAAACTGCCTTATCTCAACCTATAAGTCACTGTCCATCTTATTCTCTCTCCCTTGTCTGGCTGGAAAGGGTGGCTTGGTAGACACCTGATGTCCAGCCAAGGTCAACCCACTACACCTGGCATGGTTCTCTGTCCTCTTGAGTGGTGGAAGCCTGTGGCTAACTTAGGATGGCAGCCAAATCTTGCTGGTGCTTTTACTGAACTGCTTAAGCAGAGGAAATCTGCCCAAAGAAATGAGACTTTTGGTAAGGACGTGGACATGTCCATGGGGAGGTGAGACAGTTCTGAAGTTGTTGGTGCTTGAGCTTTTTCTGCAGTCATTCATAGCTGTCTTTGCTCAGCTGCCTTGTGTTTTCCAGGTTCTTCTCTACTTTGGAGAAACCAGTGCTCACAGGATGAGTTTTTAAATGATCTCCTTGGTGAGAATGTTAAATTGCTGCAGAGGGGAATCAGTGTGCAAAGTTTTGCATTAGGAGGCAATTATTTAAGAGTTTTGACAGCACTAATTACTGTCTGTGCTAATATACCTGCCAACAAGCCACTGTTTAATATAGATCAGAATGATGGAGGGCACCAGAGTTCTCTTCTTAGTGATAGATTATGGGCAATAAATCTTGTCACATCACAAAAGTCAAGGAGGACCTGATGAATTATTTCCTCTCTACATGTTACTGTGGAAGCAGAAGCTGTGTTTGTTTTCTAGTGATTTGGAGAGGATGCCTGTAAAAGTGAGATCTCTTCTGTGCTGGGAAGCATATGGGTGGGCATGGAGGGAATATTCAAAATGTAAGGTTGTATCTTCAGAGCCCTCTCCAGAACATGACCTTGATTAATTTGGAGAAAAGGAAGATGAAAGAGTTAGCAGCATTGTTGCAGAACACAAAAGTGGCAGATTTGCTACCAGTCCATGGGTTGCTGTCCATTGAAAGCAAGCCTGTAGCTCTGCCTCAGGCTCCTGAGCACAGAGATCAAGACCTGTGTGTCCAGGGGAGCTCAGCTACCTCTTCTCACTGACACAGGAAGAGGCTGAGTGCCCGTGAGAAGGAGGTGCCCAGGGCTAAGGCATTTTCCAGCCTGCCTGGGTACATAGCAGTTTGTCAGGATAGGGAGCTAGAGTTTAGTGCAGGGTGATTTGGCCGTGGCTGCTGTTCAGCCTCAGACCACTGCTTTCTCTGAAGTGGGTGTTTCTAGGTGCTGAGTGGGGCCAGCATGGGCTCTGTCCTGGGGTGATTAATATGCTGCTGTGCACCGTGTCTGCTCATCTGGGCTCCCACATCCTGATTTGTGTCATAGAACTGGCAAAGCACTTTATGTGCATACAGCTCCCAGGCTTGAAGCAGCTAAACCAGGCTGAAATGTGGTCATAACACGCTGGAATAGAGGGTAGAGAGTGCTCTTTTGGGGTTGAAATGTTGAATGTTCATTCAAAAAGCATGAGGAGGAACTTTTCAGAAACATTTGCTCAAAAAATACCAAACAAACCTAGTGTTGCAGCCATCTGTTTAGTATAGGAACACAAAGGAAAAGAGGAGATTTCCAATTAAGAAAGAAGAATTACAAACCATAAAACATTCCCATATTTGAAACAGCTCAGTAAATGCATTTGCCTCCATTGAGTCTCTTTGTGTTTCCCATGATATTTTAGTGAGAGAATGGATTGACAGGAATTTACTGAAACCAGGCAGGCCTTTGGGCAGGCACAGCAAGGATTAGACCTTGCAGCATCCTTGGAGCTCGTGTTTCCACCCACCTCTCTGTGCTCCACACGGAGCTCAAAGGGCATTGCGTCTCAGTGTCGAGTCCTGCCTGCACACCCCACCCAGACCCAGTGGCTCTCCGTCCTCGTTTGCTGATTGCAAATGACATGCAACAGTTAATTACATTAGCTTTGTCAGTAACAAGGAATCTTCTGGAAGCATGACCAATTGGCTCAGGAGAGAGCATGTACATGCCATGTGCCCGGTACTTACTGCAGTCCTGTGAGCACCGTGCACTTTCTCTGGTTGTTTACCTGCAGCAGCAAGTATAGATTTGAACAGCAGGAGAGGCTTCCCTGAAAATATTTCATGGCCATTGTTCATTTGACCTGTTATTTCTCAGAACTGGCTGGTGTGCTGTGTTGCCTATATCTGCCAGCAACCATTCTGGCTTTTGTAAAGAGTTTCCCAATGTTTGGCAACTAATCTTCTGGCAGTAAGTCTTGTGTTCCATAAAAATGTCTCTTGTGACTTGCTGATATCTGGTAGATGGCTGGAGTTGCCAATTATGTATTGTTTAAACAATGATGACAATAATAAATTATATTTTATATAGGGCAAATTAATCCTGAAGTGTCCTTTTGCATTTGGCTCACTATTTGTGTGGATAACTTCATCTGTTGCTAAATTACAGCTGCTTTTGGGTTGAAAGACAGCAATTGTTTAATGGATTGCTGCAAAATATGGTACAGTACAAGAGAGAAAGTGAAGATCTGTGTGTTAATTTGAAGCTGAAGAATAGGAGCATATAGACCATGTTTACCCAGTCCCTGTATTTGGGGTTGAAAGTGAGACTGGATCCACTAGATCCAGAGCTGATACTTATCAGAATCCTAGGTTTGGTCCTCTGCTGCAGCAAAATATTCCAATGTGCTTTTAGATCTTTCCTTGCTGAGGAGGACATTCAGGTAGGAGCTTGGATAAATTGCTTTTCCCTAGGGGGTCTACCTGGGCTGAAGATAGGACACGCACTAGGGCCTTGTGACCAGGGTGGAATGCTGAATCTCAAAGCATGATCTTCAACTTGTCTTCAGAGATACACAAATCAACCTGTAAGCATTTAGGAGTCTTGTCAGGTGAAACTTAGGTTGTCCCGTGGGTGGGAACCTGGAGATAGCCTATAAGAGAGGCCTGGCCTCTGCTGGGAGAAACTGCAAAGTGGGGCTGTGGCAGGGTTTTTGTTGGCAGAGCAGGTAGGAGAGAAGAATCCAGAGCAGTATTGAGGGATCACAAGGATTTGTCTGCATGTTCCCCTGCAAAAAAAGCAGTTACAGCCCTGAACATCTCAAGACCTGCAAGCTCCAGAGAGGGGAAGGGACCAAGCCTGGGCATACAGCTCTGTCGTCTGCTGGCTTTTCAGTTTGAGCCTTCTATTGTACTGACAGGGGAAAGCATTTACACTGCAAGGAGGGACGGGTGCAGCAATAACAAAGCACTGCCCACATGGTGTGCCCAGGGCATGGTCAAGCCCAAGCTGTTATCTGAGTCCAGTGGTATGCCATGCAGTTCTGTGATCTCTCTGCCCTCTGTGTAGTTGTTTAGCTCACGTTAAATCACAAGGAGTCTGAGTTTGTTGGTAGCTCCTGTGCTTTTCTTAAATGAAACATGAGAAGCCAAAGCCTTTCCTTGTTCTCAGTGTCAAATGTTTAACCACAGATGGGAAAGTCAGGGCACGTAAACAGATGTGTTTGCTTTTATTCTGAGAATGCCTTCACATGAATACTATTTCTGTCTTTTTGTCATATGGGAATTCGGACCTGTGTTGTTTTCACTGGCTCTTTTGTCTTCCTTTTGACTCCAGACCAATGTACTTTTCTTCTATTGTTTCTTCATCTAGATACACCGAAGCCTTGACAGATCCCAGCTACAAAGGACAGATTCTTACCCTGGCTAACCCCATAGTTGGGAATGTTGGAGTGCCTGACACAGCCACTTTGGATGAAATGGGCCTCAAGAGGTTCCTGGAGTCTGATGGGATCAAGGTAACAGTGGGAGATGCAGAACTTTATCAGAGTGATGCCAGCAACCTGACTGTGTGTTAAAAGGAATCAATGATCCTCAACCTTTCTTTTTCTTCTGGATATTGTCCTTTGGAGGAATGGTGGCAAAAGATACTCCGTATTGGTTTTTGTGCCAGGACATGTGCCTACTGAAAGCTCAGCATTTCCTGTCAGTGATAGACATGCTACAGTTTTTGTGAACTGCTGTCCTGGATGACTTTTTTTTCACCTTCCTCTCTGCCTCATATATTTATCAGTGTTTGCACAGGACTGGTAGCCAAGAGAGATCAAACACCGGAAGTTTCTGTGTGCCTGTGCTACCACAAGCAGGGGAGGTGACAGTTGTGTGGAGAAGAAACCAGAATTTACACTGTGGTGGCAGGGGATGTTGCTTAGGAGTAGGACTGTGTCCTGGCACCAGTGGCAGTATTGAAAAATGAAACAAACCCATGTAGTTGCAGAACCAGTGAAATGCTTTATCTATTCTGAGGTGAAATGACTATTTTACACACTATCTAACTCCACTGGAAAATGGAGCTGTCTTTTGAAATGAAACGTCACTTAAAAGTGAAGAACTTTCTTACACAAAAAATGAATCAAAACATTTTATCTTATCTTAAATTTCCTTTTTTTTTTCTAACAAGAAGTGTTTTCTCAGTTCTGTGCAATTTGCCCCTTTGGTTACCTGGAAACCACATTCTTGTATGAATTTCCTAAGTAAAAAGGCCCAGATACAATCGTGACAGTGTGAAGTGTGTCTGTGATAGGGTTTATGGTAAATAAATAGTGAAAATTGAAACTACAGGGTAACTACAAAGTGATCCTTCAGTTCAAAATTATGTTTCTTCTATCTACAGGTTTCAGGTTTGCTGGTGCTGGACTACAGCAAAGAGTACAGCCACTGGCAGGCTGCTAGGAGCCTGGGGGAATGGTTGCAAGAGGAACAGGTAAGCAATCTAGAGGTAACTACACATGAGCTTTTAATTTTTGTGCTTTTCAGGGCAGAAACAAGATTTTAACAACTAAGCTATTTATGAATGGGAAAAGGAAGGAGAAGTGAAGCACTAGAAGTGAGGCAGCCTTGGTAATACTGCTGTCAAGAGCCAGAGATCCCTAAACAAGGCCAGGCTGGAACGGGGCTCTGAGCAGCCTGCTCTAGTGGAAGGTGTCCGTGCCCATGGCAGAGGGGTTGGAAGAAGAAGATCTTTAAGGTCTCTTCCAATCCAAATCGTTCTGTGATCCTGTGACATGTTCTTCTCGTGCAAGTGATCTGGCTGCTTTCTTCCTCTGTCTTAGCTGCTTGTTCTCTAACTTAGCCTTGTGTTTTCTTCAGGTGCCTGCACTGTATGGGATTGATACTAGAATGCTGTCCAAATTAATTCGTGACAAGGTATGATCTGCTTCCCTTGATCCAGCTGCATTAACCTGGCTAATGCTGGGCCCTTTTTCTAACAGTGTAGCAAACCTGGGGCAGCAATGGTGCCACTGGGCTGCCTTGACTTCAGATGCTGCTCAGATCCATGTGCTCTTCCAAAGGCTCTGTGTCTTCTGTAATACTGGGCAATGTTCTGATCCCAGGGAGCCCTCTCTCCTTGCCTCTGCTCTGGGTTTCCTCTCCTACATAAGTGAGCCAGCACAAGCTGGTGTAAATGAAAGGCCTCTGGTGGTGTCAGACACAACTACATGTTAACTCAGTAACAGTCAGAGAGAGCAACAACTCTGTGAGGTATTATGGATTTTAGTTCACAGGTGGTGCCACCTTTGGTCAGTGGAAATTCTCCTGCTCCTCTCAGTCAAAGGAATGCCTACAATAATGTAAGCTGGATTCCTAACTTGGACTGGTTTTCTTAGGCTGAATCTTGCTATTATTTTTAATAGTCATTAGTTTTCTTAGGTTTCCAAGAGCTGACAGTTGAAGGACATGAGCAGGATTATGTTACGGAATGGAGGTTAATGTGAAAGTACACTTCACACTGGCTGAAACAGTGATCAAAGTCAGTCTGAATTAAATGTGCCTTGGAGGCTCTTCTTTTCTAATGGATTATTTGAAGCTGCTCTTTGCTTTAGGTGATCAATTTGCAGCCTGCAGTCCAACCCCACATCCCCTTTCATTCCACAGAGCAAAACAGGAATGACCCAGCTTGAATAGAGGAGTATTTGTAGAAATTAATTTTTATGGCAAGATTTAGCATTGTCCTGCCCTTACAGATAGCATACATGTGCAATTTAATGCAATAGAAAATGGCAGTACTTTTAAGACATGATAGATCAATATTCCTTTTATCCAAAGTAAATACACTTCCAATGTTTATCCTGTAACTTAGCAGTGTATGGTAGTAATGCCATACTGTGACTCTGAGTGGTGTTGATGTATGGCTTTTAAAATAGTGCACAGTCACCTTTTCATCTCTCAGGCTGAAAAAAACGCTTAGAATTTAATTCCATGTATAAATTGGGGATGAGAACAGGGCTTCATTATGGTAAATGCAGAAATGAGCAATGACTTGTTAAACTGGGCTAAAGGTAAATGCAAGGCACCATTTGGCTGAATAATCTGGGAGCAAAGTAAGACCCAGGTTCCTGTCAGAGAGCAAGGACTTTAGAGATTTATTATAATAGCATGGTGGTACTCGGCAACATGGCTCTCAGGTCCCACGGCTCTCAAGCACTACTGAGCACTATGGTTCCCAAGAACATGATTCGTAGAAGACAATGACGTTTTCAGCTCTGGTCTGTGCGAAATTTGGAGCAGCTTTTGGTGTGAGGTGCTATTCAAGGAGACATAAGATGTCAGCCACTGCTAAGAGCAAAACTCTCTCCTTAAAACTTACCCATAGCGGTGTGCATGGCAGTGCAAGATGTTGGCTCTTTCTTGCCCTAGGAAAATGGCAAGGATGCTTCAGGTTTGGCAAACCAGGGAAGTATCTCACAGGAGAATCACTAAACCCAACAAGCAATACCAGTGTGCACGTTAGTGTGATATCCACAGGGTGAGCTGAGTTTAACATATTTGATCATGACAGTGGTTTTTGATAGAAGTTACCACAAAACAGTGACTTCCTCTGTTTTACTTTCCCCTTCCACCCTTGAAAAGTTCTGTACTGCACACCCTGCTCCATACTTAGAAGATGTTAACCCCAGATTAATCCCACTTATTCCAGGCGTGGGGCAAAGCAAAAGCAAGGATTTCTTTTCCACTGAGAACTCTAATGAGCAGAAGGTGGAGAAGTATATGCTGCTAGCAGAGCAAGAGTGTTCTAGCTTCTGCCAGGTGGTAACAGCAATATAGAATAGAGTTTGCTGGAGGTGATTTTTATTTTTAACAGCTTACTCAGAAACAGCTGTGCTGACCTGCCTCCTACATAGCTTTGCCTTACACCAGCTCTGCTGCCTTGTGGTTATCCACATGAGGTGGCTGAAAAACTCAAGTGGGTTTGTGGGTTCCCAAACCCAAAAAGCTTCAAACAGCTTAGTAGATTACTCCCTGATCTACACAACAGTTATTTGGAGATCTGAAGGCAACTCAATTTCATGTCACTACACAGATTGCCAGACTGCCTGTTAAATTTTACTGCTGATAATGCCTCTCCCCTGAATGAAGAGTTATAAACAGATTTTTCATACCAAGGAAGGCTCATAAACTTCTGAAGATGCTAAAAATGATTATAAGCTGCCAAAGAAACCATCTTTAAACACCTGTTCCAGTTGCTGTGCCTGTCAGCACCTTGTCCCAGTGTTCACAGGTTCTCTTTTGCTCATTCTTTGTTTTTTTTCTGGTGTATTTCCACAGGGCACAGTACTTGGGAAGATTGAATTTGAAGGTCAACCTGTGGAGTTTGCAGACCCAAATAAACAAAACTTAATTGCAGAAGTTTCTACAAAGGTGAGAAATTCTTCTGTAGTATTAGGGCTGTACACTCCAGGTAGTAACTGGTCCTCATTTGCTCTGGGCATCAACCATTTTTTCTGAACAAACGATTTGGGGATGTTTTCCAAACCATGCACCTTTCCAGACCTTTGATAGACTGTCATCTCAGCATCATCCTCGTAGAATCCCTGTGGCTCCTTAGATGCAGTGTTAAAAATAAATATGAGCTGTGTTGAGCTGGATGTGCCCTGAACCATACTGTGATCAAACGATTGTGTGTAGAGACAGGACTGAGAAGTACTGGGGATACAGTTACACCTGGCATATGGTGGACATAAGAAGAATTAATAAAAAGAATGGTTGCTTTCCTTGAATAAATTTCAGGAAACATATGGCATAATTTTGTTGAGGTGATTCCAGAACATATTTCTAGATTTCAAAAGGAGACCAAGTTAGGAATTCCCTGGATCTAATATTACTCCTATTAGCTGCTTTGTCCATAGATCTGTACAGATCAGCAGTGAATACTCTGTTAGCTGGGCATGCAAACCATGTTTGACCACAACATGAGAACAAAATTAAAAATCACGAGGATGTAGCAAAACAGGCCCATACTAAAAATGGTAACTATTGTTGTACCAATTCAAGGGCTAATGTCTTAACTTGTGGCCCCTTTGGAGATTTAATTGGGGATAAAGAGTGCCCTGGGTGCTTAATCCCACCGACTGAAGTGAGAATTGAGTGTATGAGTCCCTTTTGCAAATTCCATGCTTACTCTGGTGTTTGCAGCTCCTTCAAGACCAGTGAGGCTCTGGAATTGCTTTGCAAATAGTTGCTTGTGTACTGTTCTGCACACAACCTGGTGTGTTAGTGGCATGGGTAAAAAGCAGTCCTGAACAGACTGGTCAGTAAGCAAGGGGGAATCTGAAGCAGTCTCCATCCAGGCTTGGATTTATAGTAGTAACTGGTTACCTGGAATGCCAGTGGAATACACAAGCCACCTTGCAAATCTCACCTTTGGGGATCTCACCAATTCATGCCAATGCCTCCACTGTATTTTGAGTCAGGGCCTTGTTGCTGCACAGAATGATGGCAATTTCTTAGTGAGGTTGTGATCCAGGATTGCAAGGTGCAGGTGGGGCCATTTGGAGTAGTATCTCAGAAATAGGTAAGGTTGCTGATGCTAAACTCTGCAATTACTGAGAAGGAATTTCTGTAAAGAGGCTGAAAATCTCTTCTAAAAGGGAGATATAATAAGATTAATGGTGCTTTAGTGGTCTCATTATGTTTATATCTTCATTTTATAGGCTTAAAAAACAACATCACAAATAAGGCTGTAAATGAACTAAGCTGTTTGATATTGATAATTACTGGACATGATTATCTGTTGCCAAACAGTGATGTTCATGGAAATCAGGATACAGTAAGATCAGGAATCTCCTTATCAATTGTACACTAGGAGTGATTGGTTTTTTTAATTATTTTTTCACCCCCACCTTCTTTAAATGCTGGTGATATAGACTGTGCTTGCTAACATTGCCTATCCAGGGTAGGGAATGTAGAAAACTGCCAGTATTCTGCAGGAACTATTATTGGAGGTGTTTTTTTGGTGCATGTGATTGTCAGGGTCAGAGCAGATAAGGTATATTTAACCATTCCAATCTGAAAGGTTGCTTCTCTCCACACATGACATGCAGCCCCACGAACTCTGTTCTCAGCACTGGTGCTGAGAGTTTCTACTCTCCCTGACCACTGTGTTGCAGCCTTCCCACATCATCTTTTCAGACTGGGACAGTTTTTTATAGGCTGTGCAGCAAACAGGTGAGGGAAGTCCTCTAGCTGTAGAGGGAATATATTTTAACATTTCTCTGAGCCAGCTCCCAGTCTGGTTTCTGTCTACACATACTCTTAGCCAGATGTAAGGGTCAAGTTAAGTCTGCAGTACAGAGTGCAACAAGTGGGGGAACAGTTGTGGAGACAGCAACACCTAAAATTAGTCTTGCTGCTGAAGGAAATGTAACAAATCACAGCTAATTAATTGGGCAGGGAAGAGTTTTAAGAGTGAGACAAAGTACCTCAAAGTAGTTTTGCCCCACAGCTCCCATGAGAACAGCCAAGGACAAGCTTTGAAGCTTTGCTTCATAATTATGTTTTGTGGATTTTTAAGTAGAAATGTTGTGACAAATTGAGGGGTCTTCAAAAGCCCCTTTTGAAAAGGAGGGTGAGTTTTTCTTAAAGGTCTCTGACACAACACTAAGTCTCTGTGAGAACTGAGTACCTTAATCTTTTTGAGAATTTTGAAACCCACCTTTCAAAAGCCTGAAGGACAGCAGGTAGAAGACCCATATAATTCCTATGCAGTGGTAGCGTTCTACCATGGACTGTGGAAGCAAAATCCGCTTGTATATGAATGACTGTGAAGATCCCATCATTTGATGTCAGGCACCTGCTAAAACCTGCCCTGTCAGGCAGCAGTAATTTTTATTATTAAATCCCTTGGAGTGAATTAAAGTAAATTGATACGAAATTATCAGTTTTTACATATTATATATATCTATATCTATGGTTTATTTTAGAACAAGTTGGTTGCAAAGGAAACAGGTATGTAGCCATTTTGGCTTTTATTATCTATGGTAACATAGCAATATAAAGGCATAAAGGTATTGCAAAGGAAAACATGTATTTAGCTGTTTTGCTTGTAATATAGCCACCCAAGAAGATGTGTAAGGGAAAAGAGAGAAAGAAAGAGAGAAAAGAATAAAAATTTTATAGTCACCAGTCAAAGGTCTCTGGCAAACTTAGTTGTTGGGTGTCACCGGTGTCTTGGTCTGTCAGGCAGTGGTGGGGGAGAGAAGCCCACGAAACACACCCTCCTGATGCCTCCCTGTGTGTGTGTGGAGGGCCCTTTTTGCAGAGGCATGATGTTTTTGCAGAGGCTGGAGGTGCTGGTTTTTGCAAAGTCATTCCAGGCTTGGGAGAGGTGTATGCTTTGAGGGCACCCCTGCTAATAGGCCTTCTCAGGGCCTCTTGATGGGTGTGTGCACGCAGGGCCCCTTTTGACACAGCTCGTGGGAGGCAAACATCACACACCCAGAGAGTGCCACTAGTCTCCTTTAGATAAAGATCGCACACCTAAAGAAGCATCTCACAACCGAGACTTCACCCCTATGCCCTCACAGTTTATGTGTGGTCTCCTCCCCTCAGCCTTATCTTCAGTCTCCTGGCAGCAGCTTCTTTGGCCAGCTGTCCTCACACAAGCTGTGCTCTTGCATCCTAAAAATCTCTGCATCTCAATCTTTGCAAAGATAAATGTTCAAACAAGAAGTGAGTTAGGATAATACAGAGGGAGGAGTTTTAATATTCTGCTAACAAACTTCATCTTGAGTTTCCTGTTGAGGGGGTGTCTTTCTTTGGCTGGTTGTAATTCTCCTGTGAAAAGATTCAGTTTGTCACCCTGCACCAGCCATATTGAACATGGATTTTAGAATCTTTTCATAAGAGGGCCCAGCTGTAAACTATGAATACCAGGGAAGCTGACTAAAAGGCAGTTTCTAAAAAAAAAAAAGACTTTTTTCCTGTGATGCCCAAGAGAAAAGCCACTTTGGGCAAAGTATATTTATCTATATCAGCTTTCAGAAGCTGAGCATAACTGAAGGTAAGCACACAGTTTGTTTTAGGAGGAAGAAGGCAGCCTTATGTTATTGATGAATAACATCCCAGCCTGGTGCTACCTGCAGTCATGTAATAAGTAAAATAATTCAGCAAGCTTCAGAAAGCAACTGTCCATAAATAACCTTACATCAGTACTACGGCTGTCTGACAGTGTGTCTGCATGGTGCAGTATCAAGGCATATAACATACAATGGTTTGACTTCACTCTCTTCTATTCTGGCTGTGACCAATAGATATCTGGGTGTACAAAAGCACCATGGTCAAGATTTGGGACTGGTGACAATTTATTTTGTGAGATTGGTAAAGGAACAGCAGCTGGAAGAGGAGGAGAAGTAGTGAGATAAAACTGTCAGGTCCACATGAACACAGACCATGTTCGGTGATGTGCTTGGCCTGGTCTGTCCTGCCATGATGCACTGAAAGTCACTTACAGGTATCTTCAGCTGTGCTGTGCTTTGGTCTTACTGGGACAGGAGGGGTTGTGGTGGTATTTACTGTGATGGATCTGTAGCTGGTGCAAAGCAGCCTTGCTCTGCTGGCATCAGCTTGACGACTGAACTTCAGCTGAAAATCTCTCCTCGGGTATCTGGTGTGTTTCTCTTGGGCTGCAATAGTCTATGAGAACTGGCTTTCTGCTCCACTGCTAATGAAGTGAAACACAGGAAAAAAGCTCATCATTAGCTGTGGAAACAACTGATTGCTTAGGAATTGCATTACTGCTGTAATCAACAGTATATTAAAAAAAGAGCATTAGAACTTCTACTTCCACAGAAAAATGAAGGAAGCACTAATGTCTGCACTGTTCCTGGAGATTTCTATGTAAATTGATAAGTTCCAGTTGCTGCACGTTGGTGTAAAGTTATTCTGCTGCCCGTCTTCCCTGTGTTTTGGGGATGGGGCGTCATCTGTCACTTACAGCATGGTCTGTCTTTTTATAGGAAGTCAAAGTTTATGGCAGAGGGAATCCAATTAAAGTTGTAGCTGTTGACTGTGGGTTGAAGCACAACATTATCCGTCTGCTAGTTAAGGTAAGTCAGTGCTTGATGTCCCCTATCTCTTGTTTTGCTTTGACAAGGGCCTTGCCTGTACTCACTAGCCTTCCTTCCACCTGCACACAGCCCTTCTAGTAGCAGTTGCCCTCCTAAAATCCGGTACAGTTTTTAGGATGACTTTCATGGACTAGGAAGTGTTTTCTGAACTTGATACACTGTATTGAGGGGGTAAGGAATACGACCTGTCCAGCAGCCTCTCAGCTGTGAGAAGAACCCCTTGAAGATGAGTTGTCATAAGATGAGGCACAACTGCTCTAAAGGACAACCAAGAAAGGTCAACCCAACACTGTAAAAAATAAACGGGAAAAAAGTTTCAGTGAAGATGGTGAATAGTTGAAACAAGCCCAGGGAAATTGTGGAATGTCCGTCCCTGAAGATATTAAAAACACAGCTGACCCAGGCCCTCAGCAACCTGCCCTAAAGTTGAAGTTGTCTCTGCATTGAGCAGACCTCCTAAGGTTCCTCCATCCTCAGTTTTTCTTTGACTACAGGATTCTGTGAAAATCTTTTCCTGTTTATAACACAGTGATGCAGCAGTGCTTGCTTCTTTAGCCACGAAGGCAGACTGAAGGCAGTGTCCTCTCATTCCCTAGATGTAAAGGGTTTCTCTGATTCTGTTTTTTAATTTGTGTGGATATTTGTCTCATTTTTGATGTGTAGGACTATTTCTGGCATGTCACAGAACAGAGCTGTGAAAACCTAATTTAACAGTCAGAATGCATGCACTGTGTAGAAGTGAACATATTTTACATATGTACATGCATGAAATCCAGACTCAGCCTTTGGGACATGAGAGAGGAACAACCTCCTGACACAAATTCATTTGTTTCCCTCCTGCCCCCGTTTCTTGTTCCCTTGGGGTTTTTTTGTGTTTGTTTGTTTGTTTGTTTTTTAGCGAGGTGCAGAAGTACATTTAGTTCCATGGGATCATGATTTCACCAGCATGGATTACGATGGGCTCATAATTTCTGGAGGACCAGGGGATCCCATGATGGCCCAGGAGGTGATTCAGAATGTCAGAAAGGTACAGTGTAATATCCATAGGCTGATTATACTTGTTAATTTGCCTTTTGTTCTAGTGCCTGAAATCCAAACAGTTGGTTGTATTAACGTGTTGTGGGCCAAATGTTGTTCAGTCATTTCAGCTGCCTGGAATATTCCTTGTGTTGGTCCACTGGGAGTTGTCTCCAGCCCAGTAGTTACAACAAGGCTACATAGACCTTTACTGGTGCCTTAAAGTACACTGTGCTCTTTCAGGACCTCTGGGACATTAGGAAAGAACAGCATTGAATTCAGGGCTCCCATTTGCAATAATGCTGCACACTAAATGGTTGTAATACAGAGTGTCATTGCTTATTCCCCTCGACTAATCTGACACCAAGCTGTGCCCTGAGGCTTCCCTCTGAAGGAGGGAAGAGAAGGAAACTTTCCTTCCTAGGCTGTTGCCAAGTCTGTGAGGGAACTAGCATAGTTTATGCTGGAATTGCTGAATGGAGACACTCCAATATCTCTTGAAAACCTTTTCATTTTAGGTTCTGGAGAGCGATCGCCCAGAGCCCCTGTTTGGAATTAGCATGGGGCATCTAATCACTGGAATAGCAGCTGGAGCTACTTCCTACAAGATGCAGATGGCCAACAGGTGTGGCAGCTCTTCTGCTTTCCAGGGCCTAGACAGACCACTTGAGCATTGTGAAAGGCCACAGAGCAGCAGTGCTTTGCTGCTGAACTGCCTTAGCAGCAGCGAGCATGTCAGTGGCATTGCTTCTTCATCCCAGCCATTCTCCTCGCCTTTAATTTAAACTGCCGTGTCATGCAGTACTGTTTTTGAGGGTGTTTTGGAAGTGTTTGATGTAATTGATTCCCATCAAGCTGAAGGATAGCAAAGTTTCTCCTAGGTTTTATTATCTTCTGAATGGCTGCCAGCATTGAACAGCTACACTTGAACTGCTGTGTACAGCCTCATAGTTACCAGCTCCTCCTAACTGTGGCATTTGGACACATCTGGCACTTCTGTTCTCTGACTGTTTTTTTTCTTCCAGAGGCCAGAACCAGCCTGTCCTGAATGCAGTGAATGGACAGGCTGTCATCACTGCTCAGAACCACGGCTATGCCATTGACAGCTCTACCCTCTCATCTGGCTGGAAGCCTCTCTTTGTGAACGCCAACGACCAAACGACTGAGGTGAGCTCATACTTTATTCCAGAGACCTGCACGAAGAAGCCTCTAGTGAGCTAAGACTCTCTGGCTTTATTGCACCTCCTGGAAGCTTGCTGTCAGGTTACAGTTAGTTATCAGGGCTGAACGTGATGATCTGACCATCTACTTTACTTGGAGCTTACCTTAAAGCCCACAATGGGTTAGCCTTTACCACTGTTTGCTGGACCAGCACAAAGTGTAGGATTGTCACAGTGACTTTAGTATTGCTCTTTAACAGCTGCCTCATTAATTTCCCTACCATTAGTTGTGCTCACTCAGTTACCATTTCCTCAGGGCTTGTGCAACCCACTGCAAGCCTGTGCCACCATTTTGTTGTGTTGGTTCTGTATTGCCAAGCACAGAAAAGAAATATTATTGCAGTCTAATTTCGTCTGTTATTGTAAATAGAATTTCAACAACTAAAGTCATGAGGGAGAGAGGCTGCCTTTAGAGAACAGCTTACAGGATCTAAAGTAGAAGTCCAAAGTCAAATGACATCCATGTTTGAGACAGACCTCAGGCTTTGTAATTGCCCATTTTAAATCTTTTCCATGAGGTCTAGTGGTGTGCAAGTTAGTGAAAGTTTTTTAATTATCAGGAAATGATTGAAAAGAAGGTATTTTCAAAAGCAGTTTCTCCAATGGGAATATACCTTTCTCTCTTGTTTTATATAAATGCCCCACATCAAGTCTGGCAGATTGAACAGTGCTGTTCTGAGCTACCCAGTTGATGATTTTAGAATAAGTTTTGTTTGTCAGTTGTTGTTTTCTTTATCCTTACAGAGGTATCTAAACAGAGGCGTTACCAAACAAAATATTAATACAAAAAAATTACAGCTCAATTTCTGAAATGAGTTTATTTTAGCTGTGTTGACAAACTGAACCCTTTAACTCCCAGGCCTTTCATGTTTGCTTTAGCTGGAGTTTGGAGACAAAGGTGATAGGGTTGGACATGAGTCTCCTGGATCTAGTAGTGTGACATTCCTTTATGTGAACCAGAAAACCATTTCTGTGAGCAGCAACAGTCTCCTAAGCCTCCATAGATAGACAAAGGACCGTGTTGGTTTAGCATGGGGTGCACAAACAGGATCAGGATTGGACAGGCTGTCGTGTGCAGTCTCTTGCATTCCTCAGTTTGAAAAAGAAAAAGCATTTCTTGTGGCTGACCTGACCCATCGCGTCTGGACAGGGCCAGCACAGGTTTCCAAATAGTGACAAACCATGGAGAGAATCCTTTAAAGGATATTTGTATGGAACTAGAAGGAACGTGAGCATTCAGGGAAAATGGGACAGACTGATGGAATTCTGTACTCTGAGAGCAGGAACTCGCACCATAATGGATCAGCTGGGGTCAGTAGCTCGTCTCTCATTCCTGTCCAGTGACAACATCCCACCCTGCAACTCTGAACAGCACTGTGGCCCTACACGAGCTGTTGGGACTCCTTTGTTCAATCCTAAGGGCAGCAGATTGTATCAGGATTATTTTTGCCTGTATTTTCTCCTGAGGGACTTCTCTACCTCCATCTGGAGTTGAGGATCATGAGCAATGACATCTATAGGGTGGAGTGTGCTTCTTGGTGCTATCAGGCCTCTCAAACAGGAAATCACACACTGTCTCCAAACTCAGTTTAGGTCTGAAACAAAAGAACTAAACCCAACAACCAGAAATCATTGGATTGGACATCTCTTTATTATGCCAGCTGGGTGTTCATGGGGAATTGATTTGCCACACATGAACCGAAGAATCAGTAGAAATTTCGGGTATAAATACAGTATTCATTGAAACTCCTTCCCACAAGTCCAACCTCGAATTATGTCATAATTCGGGGGTCAAATATCATCCTGGAGTTCCTTCGTGGAGCAAGATCGCCATCTCGCGGTCATTTCTTCTGGGGGAAGCAGTTGTGTCTTTCCACTTGGCAGGTCTCCTAGCACCTATGATTGATCCAGCTGACCCCTAAACTGATTGTTCTAGTACCTACTAGGACACATATATTCATTAGTGGTTAAAGATAACTAGAATTTCCCATTAACTTAAACAATCTTTAACTGAATTTACTTCTTAGCAAAACAATCTCATATTGATTAAGTTTCTTGAAGCGTGTAAGCTGATTTCTTACAGGGGTACTTATGGTTCACTCTCTGTTAGTTCCCATAATTTCATCTACATTCTACATCCTGAAACTAATTGTAGTCCTAAAAGAAAAGACAACTACTATGCCAAAAAGCGAATTCCTTAATTGATTAAGATGCGGTTTTTATCTAAGCTAAATCTTCTAATTTCCTAAGTCATTTGAAAATGGGGCCCCCTCTCATTTCAGGTCCACAGCAGGACTGAACTCTGCCCAACCCAGGGCAGAGATCAAGCTCATGTATCAGCAGTTAAAATGAGTTATGGAAATCAAGACTGTGATCAAAAAGCATTTCTATTGTGACAGAACCAGTCAAATCAGGATGATAAAACCATTCATTCCTTAACAGCCTTGTTCCAGGTGATCTTTTCTTGCCAGCTTTTCTTCTCTGCCTATTCCAGGATTGACTCTGGAGGCAGACAAGTGTACCTGCTCTGTTAAGTTCTTCCAGATTATCAGTGTTTGCTGTTGCAGTGAAAGTGATATCTCCACTGTGCCCCTTGTCCATGCACAGCTGAGCCTTAGCAGCAGAGCAAGAGGCTCAGGGGCTCATTGGATGAGACATGGTTGGAAGATTGTGAATGAAAGGGGTGTAAATTTGACAGCCTCTGGAAACATACCAGTCCTTTGGCCTTCAGTGCTTGCAGAGATAAGATGTGGCTTTCTGTTTGCGTGTTTGCCTGTCAGGAGGTGTCTAAGAGAATCACTTTTATTCCTGCAGGGAATTATGCATGAGACCAGACCAATTTTCACAGCACAGTTCTATCCAGATGCAAATCCTGGGCCCAGAGACACAGAGGTAATGTATGAGGGCTGATCTGGGCTTGCTTTCAGATGGTCTGAGGAGTGCAGATATGTATCAGCTACGGTGAGAAGTCTTTATGTTGGTGATGGTTCTACATCTTGGTTTTGGAAATGTCAGGATCCTAACAGAGGGCCCAATCATGCATAGGCTTGTGTCTGCTTAGCTTGATGTGCAGCTAATTACAATCAGCAGCAAGGCATCTATTGACTTCTGTGTGCCTTGGATCAATGATTCCATTCATATTATGTGTATGCATCGAGTCCTGGTGGGATTATCTCTGTGTTGGAAGTTACTGAAGTGCTTAAGCCTCTGCAGGATCAGGCTCAAATCTCTTGCAAAAGAGATTGCAAAAGGAATAGCATTTTATCTTAACAGAAAAAATACTAACCAGATGCTTTGTAATAAAATCATTAACTTTCTAATACATTTTAGTTCCACTTTCAAATTTTATAATTACTGTAGAGTTATGTAAATGGATGCACACTTCCTCACTCTGGTTCTCCTAAGTGAAATTAAATTTTAATCCCCAATCTGTGACTTCACACAAAGTCTGTAACAACTGGTTGTGTAGTCACGGAGTATGACTAAGCAGCATCAGGGGATGTGGAAGGCAGAGGAGGCATGTCTGAACATAAATAAGCTATTTAGCATTTCCTGAGAGAGGAAGATGGAAGAATACATAGAAGTGCTTATTTAAATCTTAATTTGATGATGTTGATTAAACCTGCAAATAAATCTCTTGATATCAAGAAGTTTCATAGCAATCTGATTGACTAGTGAATCTCGGAGAACTCAAAACAACCCTCAGCTGTGTGTCTTTTCCAAGTCTGTGCACTCCCACTGCTGGGATGGGTTTGATAACATAGTGCCTATCCTGATAGGCTTCCAGGACCCATCCATACTCATTCCATGGATAATTCCCAGAGACTGTGTGGCAAAAGCTCTGCAGGTATGGGGTCAGGTGGGAAACCTGTCCCGCTGTGTGTAGCTGCCTGCCTTGCATGCCCTGGTTGGAGAACACTTTTCTGACAGCTGCTCTGGGACCTCCTCTGGAAGGACAACACTGATTTAGCACCACTGATGTTTAGATATCCCTGTTCAGGTCCCTGCTCTGTAGCAGGTGCCATTCCAGATGGTTCCCTGAGCTAGTCTAGTGTATGCTCTTCTGTGTTTTAGCTTTTAATGCACGTTCACTTGTTGCACTGCCAGCCACATAGAAGCAAAGCACACAGACATGATTGATGTGTGTTTTCTTCCTTATTATGACCTCCCTTTCTTGAATGCAGCTTTGTCAGAGATGTCAAAGTTGTTAAAAAATTTCAAATAACTATTTCCTCTTCTCAGATGGTGTAAATCTACCTGCTGAAGGCAGCAGAGCAGAGCTGATTGCTCAAGCTCACAAATGGCCTGTTTTTTCCTTCTTTGCTTGGTATTTATTTAGTTCCACTTTGGTGGTTATTTTTCCATAAACATGTGTTTATTTTTCCTAGTTCCTTTTTGATTCTTTCATTTCCCTGGTTAAGAGTGGGAAAGGCAGTACCATTTCCTCAGTTCTGCCCAAGGCTGGAGTGACTGCTTCCAGAGTAGAGGTCAGTATACAGATACTTGTTTATCATGCCTGTCGGTGAGGCTGGGACCTGGTTAATTCCTACTGAACCCACAGCACAAAATGGCACAGAAAACTGGTCATGGAAGTCTGAGGAGGCTTCCCTTATAAAAGTCTGAGGAGGCTTGTCTCACAGTCATCAGGCCTCTCTTGTGTTATTAAGTCCCTTTTCTTTAAGAAAGTTTTAAGTTCTGATGTTTCATGGATTTTTCTTTGCAGTTCTCCCAAGAAAGGTACTCTCACAGCAGTATAATGAGGTGCCCTGGGATAATCTGGCCATGAGATTTTGTGCCTGGTAGAATGTTGATGCTTGGTTGCTAAGCACATAAATCTGAAATTCCAAGCGTGGGCTGAATTTCATACAGTTTTGCTATCTTAGAAGGCAGCTGGACTTTGTGGGCAGCCAAAGTGAGGCATGGTTATCTATAAGCACATGATACAATTAACGTTTATTGTATGCCCTGTGCATGAATCGTGTTTCTCTGACAAGAGATATAGAAGAGAAGTCCAGTGGAAATACTCTTAGAAGTAAAAGTGCAGTGGTTTTGAAAGTGACTTTTCTTCTCTTTTTAGAACTTATGTTCTGTAATTTGAGACTGTTCATTGCTGCACAGTCTCTCTGTTCATTTCAACATCCCCTATGATAGGACTGATTTTTTTCATGCTGTTTTGACCCCTGTAGGTCTCCAAAGTTCTCATTCTAGGATCCGGGGGTCTGTCGATTGGTCAGGCAGGGGAATTCGATTACTCTGGATCCCAGGCTGTAAAAGCCATGAAGGTGAGGAGATACTCTGAAAATACTAACCTCATGTAACCTATTTTCCCTTCGCACAGCTAAACTGATCTTCCAACTATGGCATCAGTGGGGCAGGGAAGCTGATGAGGATAAGTGACTGTAGGGAAATTTAGCCATTTTTTGTTGGTGAACTTGTTGTATGAGTGAAGTGAGTTAACCACTCAGAATTATCTACCAAAGAGAGATGTTCTCGATGTTTCCATTGCAGTCTTGGAGCAGTTTGTTATTTGTGATGTGTGCCTGGTCACTCCAGGCTTCTCAAAGTAAATGGGGATGAAGAGGAGGGATATGCTCAGCTGCACCTGAGCTGGAATTACTGGAACTTCTGGGGTATGTCAGCACACGGCATGGTTGTCATAGGAGAGTGGAAGGCTTAGACAAAATTTATTAAAAAGCCCTGCCATTGAGTCCCGAGGTGCAGAAAGGACTCCCTTTCTTTCTAAACTCCTTCTTGGAGAGGGGTTTAGATGCAGCTGAATCCTGTCTTAGCCTTGGACTGTGTTAACGGTTTAAATTTAAAGGAAATGTAGAGGTATGATTAAACCACTTTGTCCCGCAGGTTTTAATGATGGCAAAACAGATATATTTATATAAATGAATTATTTATTATGACAAACTAACAAACAGATGAACAGACAAAAGATCTTAATCAGAATTATTTACTCCACAATATAAACACTAAAAATCTACTAGTAGAGTATAATATAGCGTAAAGTAGTATGGTGCACTGTAACAAAGCAATTATTGAAGCAGTTATATTAAAGCTAGCAAAAAGAAATTATAAGTAAGTAAAGATTTGATGTAACTCACTGTTGGGGAGATCTCTTTCTCTCTACCTCAAGGAGTATCCTTGGAGGGTGTCCCCAGCCAAGGGAGGAATCTCCACTCATACACCCCAAGAAGGGTTACGTCAGAAGAGCCTGACTGCATGAGAGGGGACTGGACTTTTATAGTATAAAGTGATTGACTGCTGCAACGCAAAAGATTTTGAACCCCTTATCAAGGCCAGTTTTCTAAATGGTATTTATTTTGAATAGGATGAACTTTCTGAAGGTCACGTATGTCAAGTTTTGTTTCCAGAATAGGTCCTAGAAAGGATATTAGGGCAAAAGCTCATGCTAGGAGAAGGTGTAGAAGGATAGAAGTGTACTTTGAGTGGGTTACTACTGGTATTGTAAGAGTTACCTGGGCCCCCCAGTTCATGTCTAACCTCTTGTGAAGAAGGAGGAGAGCTTGTAGAGGTGTGACAGTCCCAGAGCAGAAGTGAAAAGAAGGAATTTGAAGGAAAGGGTTGCAAGGGCAAACTACAGGTGCAGTAAAATCCAATATCCCAAACAATTGGGCTGGAGGATGTGATATCTTTTTCCCCACCACTGCCATGAAGACTACGCAGTTTGGGATCATTTGTCTAAATCTGAAATATTTTCCATAAGGATTTTATATCTTCTTTCCCTTCCCTGTTCCACACGTTTCCAAGACAAGTGCTTCAGTGAAAAAAAATCCAATTTTTCACAGGAGAAAAAGGTCAGCAGGAATTTACAGCCAGTCTTTAAGGCAGTATTTTAAGTTAGCAAAGAAAGGAGAAGAAATGTTATCTAACACCTGAACTGAGCGCTCAGAGTGAGAATCCCACCCCCAGGTGAGCTATTCCTTTGTTCCCCCAAACCAATGAGACAAACAATCACAAATTTTGAACAAACACAGAAAAACCCTATGGCATTTTCATGCTTACTGTGTACTAGGGGAAGACAGCAATTTCTATACTGGTCCCAGCAACACTTCCAATAGCATTTGCTCAAAGGATGTCTGACTTAATCTACTGGCCTTATTCCTGTTTCTTCCTACTCTTTTAAAAATGTTGTCACTGTTCCTGTTTTTAATGGGAGTCGCCATTGATTCTTAACCTCCACAACTTCTATATAGCAAATGTTTCTCTTGGAATCTATTTTGCATCTGTTATTAGCATTGTTTGCAAATGATTTGTTTGTTTGTAGACGTTTATTGCCTTACAAGAAGTTGATAAAGATTAGCATGAGTTCCCTTAAAAAAATGAGGTCGCAGCCTTTGCACTTTCCAGTCCACCTTTTCAAAAAGGCAGTAAATCATTGTTCTGTATCTGCTTGTGGTTGACATGTTTTTTTTTAAGCTTGGCCACACTTATCATTATTAGCAAAACTTGGATGACTTCCTTGTTATGTGCTAATATTTCAAGAGGGAGGAGAGTTGATTTGTCCAGCTCTGACTCAGATTTTTCTATTAATGAGCAAACTGTAGTGAACTTCTGTCTGTAGCCAAAAGAGTGGCAGAAGTCCCACTGGTATAGCAGGAAACAGATACTCTTTATTATCAGTCTATCTCAGTTTCTTATCTGGGACAGAGAAAAAGCAGAGTAAAGTTTTTGCTGACCTTTGTCTTGCATATAGAGGCAGAGCTTGTCTTTTAATATGTGCAATATCAAATAAAAAAGTTACAGGACAAGATTTTTAAAGTCATAACACCAGGAAAATTAAAGCATCTTTATGGAAAGTCAAAGCAAAAAATGTACTTTTGCTACTGTTACTAGTTGGTACAAAAAAATCTGAGAACTACCTGGTTACCCATGATCAAAGACCTACTGATTGACAAGAAAAGATTGCCTTTAGAATTAAATTTTTTGCTTTGGCACTTTTAATCTGACTTCCAACAGAAGACAGATGTGATTATGCTGGACTTTGTTCCTGTCTCCTTTATGTAAGTCCTAAATGTGGTAAACAATTTCAACCAAATTTCTGAAATGGGTGGGAATGTCCATTCCCTCAAGATTCACAAAGAGGTAGAGGCACAAAAGCAAAGAATTGGCATTAGTTCAGCCTCGTGCAAGAGACCAGAAATCTTTTATGGGACAGGACATAAGGAACGAGACTTTTTTTAATTCTGCTCTTGGTAAACTGCTTTTTTTAATTCTGCTCTTGGTGAACTGCTTGTTGAACCCCATCTCTTGCTGCTGCTGTCAGCTTTTTTATGCCTATTTTTAATGCAAATTTTAATTTTTCAGGAAGAAAATGTGAAAATTGTCCTCATGAATCCCAATATTGCTTCAGTGCAGACCAATGAGACTGGCTTAAAGCAGGCTGATGCTGTCTACTTCCTCCCCATCACTCCACAGTTTGTCACAGAGGTCATCAAGGCTGAGCGTCCCGATGGAATAATTCTGGGCATGGGTGGCCAGACTGCTCTCAACTGTGGTGAGTGTGATACAGGTGCCTTGGCCCTCCTTGCAGGCAGACTCATCATTTTTACCAAATAATAAGTAAAGTAACAAAGGACAGGACCAGAAGAAATGGCTTCCAGTCGCACCAGGGGAGGTTTAGATTGGACATTAGGAAAAATGTGAACGTGGTGGTGCTGGGTTAACGGTTGGATTTGATGATCTTAGAGGTCTTTCCCAACCTTAAGGATTCTATGATCCTGCCACATGTTCAGCAGAGTTTATTTGTGCAGGCATGCAAGACCCACATGCCTCATACGTTGCCTGGGTTACTGAGGGGTACAGGCAGAGACCTGGGGAGAGTGAGTCACTGCTAAGCTGTGAACATAACATCTAATTGCTGGGTTCGATACTTAAAAATAATTAATATGTCCTGGTTTTCAGCTTATTCTTAGTTATCGTAGTTGGATTTGGGATATTCAGACCAACTTGAAGCAGAGATCAAAAGGAAAATTTACCTTCATTTAACTTCTTGGACCAGTACTCATCTGTGCAACTCTGGTCCGTGTTGCAGATAATGGCCAAGCAGTAACTGTACTAATATCCTATACTAATATCCGTCACCGATTCGAGGACAGAAAATTTCATGTTATGGTTCTGAGACCTAATATTGAAAAAGAGTAATAAAATTAGCTGTTGATGAGGCCAGACAAGTTGTCAGCTAGTCAGATATCTTTTGAATACTTTCTTCTAAGTTTTCTAAGCTTTCTGGATTCTTTACTGTGAGAGTAGTGAGGCACTGGCACAGGTTGCCCAGTGAAGTTGTGGATGCCCCATCCTTGGAAGTGTTCCAGGCCAGGTTGGACAGGGCTTGGAGAAACCTGGTCTAGTGAAAGGTGCCCATGGCAAGGGAGTGAAATGAGATGATCTTTAAGGTCTCTTCCATTCTGTGATTCTAATTTATTATTCTTCATCTACTATCAATCCTCAAAACTGTGTCTTTGTTTACTCTCCAGGAGTGGAACTCTTCAGGCAAGGAGTCCTGCAGCAGTATGGTGTGAAGGTTCTAGGTACATCAGTTGAATCCATCATGGCTACAGAGGATAGAAAGCTCTTTTCTGATAAAATGACTGAGCTAAATGAAAAGATTGCTCCTAGCTTTGCAGTGGAATCGGTAAATCAGATAATTTTGAAGATGTGATTACTATTACTGTTACCTATTTGAGTTAGTATTTCTGATTTTGTTGAGTGAAAGCTGAATGCAACTGTGGATACTGTAGTGTGTATGCCTGCATCATCACTCCTCAGGAATTGATGATGGGTCATCAATTTAAAATGAGTCAAAATGCAATTAAGCACTTGGAAAGCCTAAGTTAATTTACTCATTGACAAGAAAAGTAAATTTGGTTGGAGTGACTCCTGTGCTGCAGCACAAAAGCCTGTAAGATGTTGGAGGTACTTTTCTTTTTTTTAAAATCTTGCACAAGCTGTTTAGACTTCGGTGTTTAGGTCCTCAAAATCAGCAGTATTGAAATATTTCTTGAGGGTCGGAGTATGAAAATAAAAAATTGATTCATGGAAAGTCCGTTGGAGTTTGGAGAAAAACAAACAGGTCTTAAACCAGGATGTCTGTTGGAGGGGTTATTTCATGCTAAAGTCTCTGGAGACAGACCTGGTATGGAAAGTGGAAATGTCCATGGAAAGTCGGCAAGGAATTCTACACATAGCTAAAGACAGAAGTTACCTCCCAGGGTGCAGTTTTCTGCTGTTTGGCAGAACAAAGCAATATTACAAAGCCAACTTCTATTATTTTCATTTTGTCTTCAGACAGTTTAGTGTCTTACTGATGGGATTTCAGGTAACCGTGTAACCAGAGTTGAAGACTTTATTAATCTGAATTTTTATCTCTCTCTGAAATGTATTCCCCTCTCCTTTAAGGTTGAAGAGGCTCTGAAGGCAGCTGAAAACATTTGCTTCCCAGTCATGATACGTTCTGCCTATGCCCTTGGTGGTCTGGGGTCAGGCATATGTCCTGATAAGGAAAGTTTGCTGGACCTTGGTACAAAGGTATGTCTGGAATTGCAAGCTCTGGGAATAGAACTGAACATCTGATTTTCTTAGGTACTCTTCTAATAGTCACAGGCACTGGAATTGTACATACCCTACCTTTCACCTTACTTGTAAAATGTTGCCCTGATTGTGCTTTTCATAATCTGCTGCCTGCTTTTCATAATTCCTACTGACTTGGGTAATGAAAATGGCTAAATGACAGATCTGCTAAATTTGTGACAAACAGTCATAATTTGAACAAGTTTTTTCAGCAGTTTTGGTCTGAAATGAAACATACTGACCTATATTCATCGACTTTCATGAGTAAATGGCACATGAATGAGGTCAAGGAAGTTGAAACATTTGAAATGCTGAGTGATAATGTAGTCTCAGGGACAGGAGAGCTGGGAGCCTTGGGCCTCTGCTGTGTTTCTGTCTAAATATGGTATTTTTGCTAGGTTAAAAGCTCATGTGGAGATTTAACAGGATGACACTTTGTAATTTGACATCTACTGGCCATCTCTGGCTATGAGGAGAGCTCTTTTTCTGTAGGAAATCCGGGATTGTTGTTTAAAAATTTGCTGTGAAAAGTAAACAGATGATTGGGGAAAACAAATCAAAAGCTTTTTTCCTTGGCAAAAATGAAGAATTTTAGGAAATAAAACTATCCACGGGGCTCTAAAGTTATTGTGTTTGTCTTTTCCTGGTTTGCTGAACCTCTTAGTCTTTCAGGTATTTCTTGAAAGGAATACTGCTGATGCGAAAATGGCTTTTCTGGCTTTGTTTAGAGAAAGCAAAAATTCACCCAAAAACCCTGGGAGTGCAGCTGTCTGAAAGGTTTATATAAAAACATTTTTCAGTAGGAAACCTCCTGGTTTTTCAGTAGGAAAACCTGGTTTTAATCAGCAAGTCTTGGTGTTTTTTTTTAAAAAGTGAGCCTGCTGCCTACCAGCACTCCCAGATTCCTGTCTGCAGGGCTGCTCTCCAGCTGCTCCTCTCCCCATTTATGCTTGTGCCAGGCTTACTTCATCCTAGGTGCAAAATCTGGCACTTCTATTTGTTATTTGTCATCCCATTAATCATATTCTAATGCTCCAGTTGATCTGGATCTCTCTGCAAGGCCTGCTGTCCCTCAGAGAGTGAACAGCACCTCCCAGTTCAGTACCAATATTTCAAAATTTACAGTGAAAAAAAATTTGAGTTTTGTTGAATTAACTTAAAATTATGTGCTCATTTTCACAACCCAGCAAAAACTCTGTTCTTTTCTGTTATGAAGATGATCTGTAGTAATTCAGTGAACTGGCTTTTCAGGCACTGGATTCTGAATTGTTTATAGTTCAGATAACTGAACACAGCTAGTTCAGGTAACCTGGCCTTTAGTTCATGTCTCCTGAGCCTGCTCATTGAGTTGAGAAAAGACAGACACTGGAGCAGGGAGGATTGTTTTACAAGCGTGGTCGAGTGTTCCTGCTACATCACCACAAACTCAGTGCCTGCTTAGGCTGGGTGTGGAATGCCATTCCTCAAACTACTTTTCTTTTTGTTATGTGTGATTTTGGCAACTGAGATAAGGGCAACATTTGAATTACAGCTTGATTTAATGACAGAGGGGGACCAGACTGAAGACAGCAGCATTAAAACAAGAAGCTGTGTTAAAGGATGGATTGATAGTATGCCCATTACTTTTTAGGAATTTAAATACAAATTGATTTAAATACAAATTTTTTCTATCTGCTAATATTAAGGCCATTTATTCACTTAGATTATGCTCATTTACCAACAAACTATATTATTCATTTTTGACTCATGCACTGAGGAGTGCTTTCAAGATTAGTTTGAGAATAAATCACGACCCTTGCCACTGGTTAGTGTGCCAATGATAAGCAGCATTATTAGTGCTATTAACTGCATAGTGTTTGCTGGTACCCACACTCCCCATTACTCTGTCATTTCTGCAGTGTTCTCCTACTGAAGTCCTTGGGGCTGCCCACATAAAAGCTTGTGTCTGTTGCATGATTGAAGCATTAGATGTTTTTATATTCCTATTTGTTATTTATAGCCACTGCAAGCACACATGCCCCACCTTTTTTTTTCCCATCATATCACATAACTATTTTCTGTGCCTTTCAAATGAAGCTGAAGCAATTAAAAAAAAACAAAGAGAGAAATATAAAGTGCTTGTTATCAATGGTATGAATTTTACATCTTTCAATTTTCTGGTTGGTCTTGGGTGTCTGGAGATAAGTCATAAAAGCCTTAAATATGGAATACGTTCTAATAAGAATTTTGATGGGGTTTTTTGGGGGGAGAGCTTTTTGTTTGTTTGTTTTGTTGTTGTTTGTTTTGCTTTGTTGGTGGTTTTTTGTTTGTTTGTTTGTTTGTTTTTACTGTTTATTTTCCCTGACCTATTCCCAGGCATTTGCAATGACTAACCAAATTCTGGTGGAAAAGTCAGTCGTTGGCTGGAAGGAGATAGAATATGAAATTGTGAGAGATGCTGCTGATAACTGTATTGCTGTCTGCAATATGGAAAACATTGATGCTATGGGAGTCCACACAGGTAGGCTTGGGCACATGGTGGCTCACTAGAAATGGCTCATTAACCTTTTTTATGCAGTGCCCTTCTGCCTGCTATTATTGACACAGTTTTGTGATTGATGAAGTGAGCTCTAGAAACACTCCTCTGGTCTTGGATAAAGCCAGCTAGGATGTGAAACAGATATTTTTAAGCTAAACCCACCTAATTTCTAGCAGTGGGTTGGCAAAGACAGTGACCTGTGAGGCCAGGATTTACTGCTGCTGAGCTGCTTCTCATTTTCCTTCACTTCTGCCTTATGACAAACAGGAGATTCTGTTGTGGTGGCTCCAAGCCAGACACTCACTAATGAGGAGTTTCAGATGCTGAGGGATTGTGCCATCAAAGTTGTCCAACATTTGGGTATTGTGGGAGAGTGTAATATCCAGTTTGCTCTGCATCCAACTTCCCTGGAGTACTACATTATTGAAGTTAATGCCAGACTCTCGAGAAGTTCAGCTTTGGCCTCCAAGGCGACAGGGTAAGATTATTTAACAAACCCCACATGCTACAGAAAACCAAATGAATGAACAAAAACGAGGGGAGCAGAACAAAAAGAGGGAATTTCAGTAATGCTTTGAATCCATGTATTATTTAAATATGTGACAGCAACAAGGAAGAAGAGCATCTGCTCTCCATGCAGTTAAAACATGGAGGCTAAATTTTCATCAAGGAAGACTGAAATTGGCTCAGGGAGAACTCTGGAGTGGTCAGGTCAGTAAGGAGCAGATTTCTCCATGGGAAGCTTCTAAAACAGTTCTTGTCAGCACCTGCTGGCATTGACCCTTGGAGAGCCAGTCCTACTGGGAGACGGGGGAAGGGGTTAGTGAGCTCTCCAGGTCTATTCCACCCTGCTGATGCTTTTACTACAAATGGAAAAACTCCCAGGAGGTGTGTGGGGAGGGAAGCTAATAGCTGCTTTACAAAGCACATGCACTGTATCCATATGTTGGCTGTAAATCACCTCTGGAACCCAGAGGACACAGCAACTGATGAGCTGTCTGTCAGATTGATGCAAATGGCACTGCTAGCTACCTTTATTTTGTTGGCTAATCATAAACTAATCAAGATAAGGATGGTCAGAGCAGCCTGTTTAAAAATTGGCTTCTTAATTGCACTTTGCAGATACTGTTGAGAGACACAAATTAATCTCTAATTTGCAGTTCTCAGAGACTCTTGTGGTTGTTGAAGAGCTGTAGCAGGCTGGAGATAAACCCTAATGTTGGGCAGTGGGTGTTTGATTGTTTCCTTTTTAGATGACAGGCTTGCAGCAAAATGTATTTGTGAGTGTGGGCTTACTGTGGGTGTGACAGGCACTGAAAGTGATGTCTTTGTGGATAAAAAAGTGAGGCCCAGATTGAAGGAGGTGAATCTGCAGTGTGTTGAGGCAGGAGGCTGGATGGGTCATGCTGTGCTTGAGCACAGGAACCTTCCACTGTATTGAGGAGGGACAATCACTTCACATCTGTTTGATTGGATCCACTCCTGGGATTTGCAAAAGCAAAGTACTTCCTTCTCTACTGTTCTCTACTTCTCCTCTATGGCAGGTATCCATTAGCCTTCATTGCTGCCAAAATTGCCCTGGGGATTCCCTTGCCAGAAATCAAGAACGTTGTGACAGGAAAAACCTCTGCCTGCTTTGAGCCCAGCCTCGATTACATTGTTACCAAAATACCCCGCTGGGATTTGGACCGTTTTCAGCATACATCCAGCCGGATTGGAAGCTCCATGAAGAGTGTGGGGGAGGTGAGTGCAAAACTCTCCCCTTCCCTTTCATTCCACCACTTAGGAAAATCATTTCCCTTTCTTGGAAACCCTCAGAATATCTATCTTCAAGGACCTAATGAATTTGAGGGTATTTATTCAGCTCAAACAATTTTTATCCAGTACTATAATTAATTAAAGTGAGTTAGGACTGTGTAATCTTGTTTATCACAGTGTGGATTCATAAGGGGTTTGACTCCTAAGGGAAGAGATCACTATGGATTACCTGAGGTTGACTTCATTCTTAACTCTTACTCCAGGACTCTGAGAGTCATTTTTTAGTTTGAGGTTCTGTAGTGGTGGTTAATTGGAGTAGAACTTCATGAGTTGTAGTCTGTTAAGATTTTCAGTGATGCCCATGAGACACAGCTCTCAGTTGGTTCTCAAGTTATTTGTCCTCTATGTTAAAACCATATGCCAAATCTCAACCTACTTCTGCTCTTCAAATCCAAACAGAACCTGTAATCTTGTTCTGAAGTTTTGACTTCTCTTAGTGATTAAGTCTCTTACATCAGAATTTAAGGTGTCTGGACAATTACAGTATTTTCAGACCAAGTTTTAAGAGGAGAGAAATGAAGCTAAATGGGTAAATTACCCACTTAATTAGTTAATTACCTATGAGCTACCAAAGCAAAATAATGAATTGTGTATTTTTTCAGTTGCCTTTCTTTCCTAATGCTTTTCAAGTAGCTATGTTATGAAATTATTTTGACATGTAAGACCTTCCTAACATCATAGTCATGAGACAACAAGCCTTTATCGGAACTGGAAGGATTAATTAGAATTTGATTTTCATTGGCAGTTTTGGCTTTTTATGGCAATGAGGTGGGTTTTTTTGTTTGTTTGTTTTCAGTGAGTTGATGCTTCCTGATATTAAGCCTCTCTGCCCAGGGGTTTGGGGGCCGTTCTGTAGAGCTGGGGTTCCCAAATACAGTTGCCTTATGCACAATCAGCTATAAACACTTGCTGGCCATACACATTTGCAGGAGGAAGTGTCAAGTCCTTGCAGTGCTCATATGTTCACTGCCTGAACCTGTGTCCTTCTCCAGGCAGGATGCTGGGTAAAGGCAGGAGGGAGATACAGGAAGAGTCAGTGCTGTAACGGCGCAGGGTGAACTGAAGCAGGGATGGAGAAGCTTAAGGGATGCAGTTTGCAGCTGGCAGAGGTACTGAGCAGAAAGGTTAGTCTGCAGGACCTGTGAGCAGGAGGGGGAGTACCTGAAGCAAAGAGTTTCTTGCCACTGTGTCTCCATTAGTTGGCACAGTCATCTCCCCAGGCCTGACCTTGAAGCCAGATCACAGCACCTACTGCACTTTTATTAACTGAACAGCATGGCCTGGCCTGGCTTTTCCTGAGCTCTCTTGTGCTGGGCAGTGGGCCTGGAGCTGTGAGAAAAGAGAGAATGATTGTGTTTTTTCTTTTGACATTTTTCAGCATTGTGTTTGAGAAGATTTTTATGCTGTTAGAGTTTCACTGCACTGGGAAATAAAAATGTAGAAGTTTGAGAAAGGGTTCTGTTACCTTGCAGATTTCCAGAGAGAAAGGCTTGTTTTCTTATTAGATGTGATGTCAAGACTGAAGGAGGGAAGCCCCAGTGCTGCTATGCCAAGGAGGAGTAACCCTTTAAGAGAGCCCTCACAGGGGACAGTTACTATTAAATGTAATTTGAAGGAAGAGGAGCAGATTTCTCCTGAACCTTAAAATTCCCGCAGTAAGTTTCTATCTCTAACAGGTTGTTAAACAGAAATATCATTCTGTATTACTATACCCATGCTGCTAGATAATGGCTCTCTCTACCAAAGTGCTTGAAAGCAATTTACAGAGGAGAGCAGTGGCTTCCTGTATTTTACAGACAGGGAGACAGAAGCAGAAAGGAGTCGCTTCTCCGGAACTCCCCGTTGATAATGTGGGCAGAGTCAGACCTAGAAGTGGGACTCCCAAGGCTCAATCAGCTGCGTCTGTCTTAAAGCCATCAGGACTGTCTTATGGAGGAGTCCACAGTCTGTCATCTTTCCATACATGTACCTTCATGGTTTCAACTCACACTCCTCTGTTACTGAGGGCACAGCTCACCGTAGCTAACGTGGAAGGGCTCTCCATTGCAGGTCATGGCTGTTGGACGCACTTTTGAAGAGAGCTTTCAGAAGGCCCTGAGGATGTGCCACCCCTCAGTAGATGGCTTCACTTCACGTCTGCCTGTGAATAAAGCCTGGCCAGCCATCGTAGATCTCCAGAAGGAGCTTTCTGAGCCATCCAGCATTCGAATATATGCAATAGCCAAGGTAACAAAAGATAAAAAAGCCTTGACCTTTGTCCCTTGAATTATATCTACCAGATTGGGTCAACTGAGGTCACAGAGTTTACTTCACCCCCTTGCTTCCCTCTGCCAAGCACACTGGCATCCTGTCCCTGTATAGGATCCTTGCTGATGCTTCCTTCATCTTCCATGTTCAGGTGATGTGTTTGCCTTTTGGTGGCACAGTCTTAGCCAATGCTGATTGCATTCAGGTGCATTCCTGTCTCCTGATACCTCAGTTTGTAGCTGAGCACTGATGGAGACCTGGATCACTTTCCTCTCCTATAATATTATATTTGTTGGATAAACGTTGGCTAATGTTCGGCCCCCTGATTTATACTGGTGTAAGTGCCAGTCAAAACTGGCCAGTTTTGCAGATTTCAAAGGGATAAATGAAGATCTTTTTGAGAACTGAAACAAAGGATGATAAAGAATAGCAAGCTACAGTCTGGGAGAGCACTGTCTATTTGCAATGATTGCGTTGGTATGGGCTTGAAACTAAAAAACTACACAACTCTATGTTTAATTTCACAGACAATAAATCCTCTGTTCTTTGAAACAGGCTTAACTTCCCGTAGCATTCTTTTAACCCCTCTCCTGTCACACAGGTCAAATCACTTCAGCCCTCAAGGTGTCTGGGTAATGGGGAGTGCTATTGTAAGGGGACCTAGGGTGTGAAATTATTTCTTCCTTTGTCTCCTTAGTGTTTGCCTGTATATATCAGATGGTAAATGTGAGGTTAGTCACATTAGAAGGTAGGTGTGATTTCACATTTGGTTTTGCTGCAGCTAACTTGTCCATCTGTCCATGCCCTCTATGGAGAGGAGGGCACAGCTGTCTTTTATAGCTCCTACTTACCTTTTGGTTTGTGTTTTTTAAGATTGCAGCAAACTTTCCTGGCAAATTACTCTTTTTTCTGCCTCTGACTTTGTGTGGTGGAATCTGTAAGCCCTTTGTGCTCCTGTGTAGATACACCTCCTTACATTTGCTCGTGAGGGTGACCAGCTGAGGCTGTGCTGTGTTTGCCGGGTTCTCACGTAGCTGTTCCTCTTACAAATGGCCTGAACGAAAAGCACAAGATGTTCTATAAATGTGTGGCTTGTCCAGCTATTGACTTCTGCTTTTCAAGCCGGGGAAGTGCGTGTCTTCATCTTTCAGCAGCTGTGTTTGGTCTTTATTATAGCTTTTTCTTGTGACTGAGAGAAAAATCTTGCTGCTTGTCTCTCTGAGTGGCTTAGAGAGCTTTTATGAAATGTTAATCTTAGCTACATGTCAACACATGAGATATGGGGAGAGGAAGGTGAGTTTGGGTCCTACTGAAGACTGGATGTTCCCAGCTGCTGACATTTTCACTGGGAGCTATTGTCAAAAGCAAGATCAAAGTCTTAATCCCTCCCTATAAAGAGCTGCCTCTGCCCAATACAGTGCAGTAATTCATCCCCATTAATAACTGAGGCAAGCTATATGAGCAAGAGATGCTTCTGGCAGCTGGGGCTGCTTGCTTGAAAATTCCTTTCCTGCTTGCTGACTTTTAAAAGCCAACAGTTATTCTCCATTAGCCATCAGCTTTGTTTGGAAAAGGATGGAGCTTTGTTGTATGTTATATGTCTTCTCCCTCCCAAACCCCACTAGTCCGCTCTCCAAGGCTTTTTACTTATTCTCTCTCCTTTGTCTGTTGGATGATGACAACAACAAGTGTTCAGGTGCAAGGGAGGGGAGTTCAGCTGCCATTCAGAGCTGTTGCTGTTGTGGTGGGGCTCCCTGTGGTCATGTAAAAGAAGGCACCATGAGAGAGGATGACACAGATGAGACTTGCTCCTTGGCCGGAGTGGCCAAAGGCTACAAGGATGGAACAGCCTGCTGAGCAGGGATGCTCAGGTTGTGTCAGGTCTCTCCTGCTCCTCTTAAAATTGTATAGTTAGTCTCATGCTTCCATGGTATGTTTAAGCTGTACTCCTGCATGTAGGTTTGAATCCAGTAATGTCATCAGAGTGATGTCCAGGCCTCTGATCAAATCCTACATGGATTTTCTGCCTGGAAACCTGATTTGCTTCTGTAGTGTGCTGATATGGGATCAAGAAATGTCTGCAAACTCATTCTTCTCTTCCAGTCTCCAGATTCATGCCACAGGGGTGAAGGTTTTCTCTGCCCCTTCTCTGATTAACAAGTGGAAGGAATTTTTTTTTTTAGTTACCTTTGGAGATCCCTAGGACTTTTAAATAAAGTGCCCTAAGGAGACTAAGAGTATGTGATCATGCTACCTGTGTGTATGTGTGGCTCAGGGACTATTGACTGAGTTTGGAGGTCCTCAACATGAGCAAGTCTGCATGTGTTTTGTGAAAACAGACAGAAAAAAGACCTGCTCACATCACACTGATGTGGCAGTGTGACCTCACCCTCCAAGCATGAGGGAATCAGGAGGGGAAGGAGCCCTTGCCACTTGCCTTATACTAGTATTGTACCCAGAAATGAGTGAGAAGCCCAACTTTGTTATTACCAGTGCTCTGGGTCTGCTGAGAGGGCCTCAGGCTTCTCGTTGCAGGCATTGGAAAGAGCAGTGGCTGTTGGGTGCCAAGTGCCAGCTGAAGGCTCTGTGTGTGACTGGTTACTCTAAAGGAGCAAAATATGGATTAGAGGTTTTCACCACTGCTTTTGACTGTGTAGTGACAGTACAACATTGTGCCCAAGCTTGGTAACTCGGAACAATAATGCTGGGGTGTAGTGGGCCAAGCTCATGCCCAGATAAATGCTGGAGTTTTCTTCAGTGGCAATTGCTCTGACTTTGTAACAGTGATGCTGCCCTGCAAGAACACAATTAAGTGTGGTAACAGTTAATGAGCCTGGCTTCAGCTCAGCAAAGATATCATGCTGGCATTATCATTATGGTTGATTAGAATTGTTTTATCTGGAGAGTTGTAACTGTACACCACTGGTGAGACCCAAGAAATTGCATTGATAGAAGATATATTATACTGAGAGGCTCTCCAGCACATTCCTTTATGGTGTTTTGTTTTGTTTGTTTTTTTTTTAGTAAATATTATGGTGTTTTGTAATTCATTGTCTCATGAATAATACCTCTGTGGATTCCTTTTTACCCCATGGCTGAAAATGATTGGTTTAAAAAGCCCCCATCAATAACCTCCGGAAGATAATGCAGGGAAATTTGAATGATCTTAACTTGAGGTAGAGACAAGCTATAATTATGCTGTAACAGGGAAGCACCACTAGGTCCAGACTTTCCCTTGCTCCAGAGGTATTGCTAGGCCACGTGCTTTGATTCAGCCTTGTATTGCAGGGGTAGATCAAGATTTGTTGTCTGAAGCAAAGGGTTCCTTCACAGCTGAGAAATCTGGACATTCCTGTTTAACATTTCCAGCTAGGAGGAGGTTGGTGGTGGGCCTGAGATTTAGGCAACTTGAATGGTAAAAGGTGTAGATGAGAAGTTGGTGCTGCAGTCTGAATGTGCCTCCCTGTAGTTAACTAAGGCACGTACTCAGTGGCCACCCAGCCTTATTGCCACTGGTTTGTCTCATGCTGGCTCTGTAAAAACCAAATTACCCTCTGGTACCTTGGTACCAGCCTTTTGTACCAAAGTGGGTGGTGCCTCCCTACACTGCTTGAGTGACACAGTTTCTGTTGCTGCAGGAGATGGGGTCATGGGGGAGATGAACCTTTGATTTGTACAGCTTAATCTACAGAACCTTTTGTTCTTTGTGCTATATAGTTGCTGCTACCTATTTGTAGGCTAAATCTGTATTTGTGCAGCATGTATTAAAGGGGCTGTTTGGTGCTGTCCTGTTTTTGGCAGGCCTTGGATAACAAAGTCCCTGTGGATGTCATTCACAAACTCACGGCCATTGACAAGTGGTTCCTGTATAAGATGCACAGCATTGTGAACATGGAGAAGATCCTGAAGGAAGTGAACAGGTAAAAAAAGCCAACAGCCTTGTCCTAGGACACAACAGTCCTTCTGGGAATCCTTCTGCTGGAAAACCTATGGTAAGCACAGATGCAGTCAATGCTGGGAAGTTATTCCAGTACTTGGAGTAAGCAGCGGTGTCTTAAAACCCACTTTACTGCCTCATGCAGTCAGCAGAAATTTCTGAACACACTCTTTTTGGTAAAATAAATCTGTTGTGTTCTTGGGCACCTCGACTGTTCTTAGGATTACGGAAGTTTCAGTTTATTTTGGAAAACAGTCAGTGTATCTCTGAGGCTAAGGCTGGGAACGTGGTTGGCCTGCAAGAAGTAACAGTGTGCTGCACTCATGCCTAGGACAGAGTTAGCCTTCAAACTCACCACAGGACTTGTCCTGACTTATTGCACCTGGGGGCCACATACCCTGCATTTTATTTCCACTCTGGCCTATTGATTTTTAAGCTTTTCTGCCTTGCTGTGATCATATAGTATGTGACGCTTTTGTACCACACTTTCCAACATCTATAGTTCCCGACATATTTAAATATAAATCTTCTTTCTTCAAGAAAAATGACCATATAAAAGCAAACAGGAAAGATAGCAGTAAATTAAAGTATTTCAGTTCAGCCTCTTGCTGACTTGAGCTTTCCCTTCGTAGTTTACAAGGCTGGAAGAGCCTCCTTGCTGAGTTATTGGCTGTGTGTTGGTGGCTTCTCTGCCTCTGGTACCCGTTGTACTCACACGTGTCACCACATGGTGGCACTGGAAGCGCACCAGAGCAAGTGCATTAGTTCACCTGCCATCGTCTGCGTTTTGATCAGCTGCACGGTTTTAATTGAGCAGCCCTTGCTCTCCCTTGCCCTCTGGAACAAGCTGGATCTGGAGCTAAACAAAAATAAATGTGGAGGGAGATGTTGAAGAGAAGGAGTAGCTTGATTATTTGCAGAAAACTTTTATTTGAATGCGCAAGTTTTTACCCTCTAGCATCTGTGTTGCACTGCATTTGTCTGTAGCCCCTTAAATATATATGTGCAGCTCCTGAGGAAGCAAAACAACATGTCGAGAATCAGTTTGAGTTCCTCACTATTGGAGTGGCATGCTCTGGGATGAGGCACTTGGGACCCCAGAAGCTGGCCCCATGCTCAGCTGGTATAAATCCAGCATCACTCCACAGAAGCTAATCTTGCCAAACTGTCCTGTGTCCCTGAGGTTGCTCTCCCTTTCTCTGCAGTGGGTGGCAGGAGATTATGCTGCCAGCACTATGATCAGTACCTGGTACCACCTCCCATAGTTTTTCCTCCTTCTGGTGACCTAGGCAGCAGGCTGTACAGGCAGGCTGCTGAAGAGAGCCCTTAGGCAGTATCCAACCCTGCATTTGTATCAGACATAACCAGTGTTGTGTCCCTTGGAAGTGAATTCATGCAATTCAACTCAGATTGCCAGTGGTGTCATAGAATCATTGAATGGTTTGGGTTTGAAGGGACCTTAAAGATTAACTAATTCCAAGTCCCCTTCCATGGGCAGAGACACCACCCACTAGACCAGGTTGCTCAGAGCGCCGTCTAACCTGGCCTTGAACACCTTCAGGGGTGGGGAGGCCACAACCTCTGTAGGCAACCTGTTCCAGTGCCTCGCCAACCTCACAGTAAAAATATTTTCCTAATATCTCATCTAAATATACTGTTTGTCAATTTGAAGCCATTTCCCCTTGTCCCATCACTATGTGCCCTTGTAAATAGTCCCTCTCCATCTTTCTTGTAGGCTCCCTTCAGGTACTGGAAGGTCACCGCAAACCTTCTTCTCTCCAGGCTGAACATATAAATTATCTCTCATTCACTCACCAGGCAGATTTTCCCTCCACTGTCATTACTCACACCTTTCCAAGGAAACTCTTACCTCCCAGCCTGCACTGGAGGAGCAAATGGACTGTCTGGCTGCATTACATTGAAGGCACGTTGGCACAAAGGCAAAGAGCCAGGGAAAAACACTTGTGACCTTAACTAAGAGACTAGTCCAGTGAGCCACATCAGGAAACATATCTCTGCAATAGCCAAGGGAAAGCCAGCTGAGTGATGCAGATGAGACTTGGCACACATGTGCTCTTCCTGCAGCCAGCTGTTTCCAGTTCCCGGAATGCCTGGCATGAGTTTTACCTGTGCTACAGGATAATTTCCAGTTGAAAAGAATGAACTGTGACACCATCATTGCTTTGAATCTTTCTGTTGTTGAAATACAGTTACCAGACTCAGAAATAGTTGTCCTGTTCCTGGGCACTGTTGCTGTTCGGACGAATCTGTCCCTTCCTTTTTGACTCTGGATGAGGTTGAGGGTACTTTGCAGTGAGGTTTAGGATGCAGTTGTAGTAATGTTTCTGCCAAGGGTCTTGATTTGCACCCTGCAGAGCAGTTGTAGAGACTGGTAATAAGGAGATGGTCTCTGCCAAGGGGAAATTTAGAGCTAGAACAAGTGGGTATGACAGACAGATGGGGAAGGGGAATCAGAGGCAGGTGGAGGCCTTTGTGAACAGTTCAGCGAGCAGCTTTCATGCACCACATGCTGCCTTGCATCCTCACCATGTGCAGCGATTCAAAGGTGAGTAAAACTCACTGATATATGCAAGGAATCTGTTTGGATGTGAGAAAGATTGTTTGGGATAATGTAATGCGTGTGTAGGACTTTCTGATCTATAAATGCACGTTCTCTATGGTGTAGAGGCAAGGCCAGCTGTTTGCAGAGACAGTAGGGACTGTGGAGGACACTGCCCCATTTACTTTTGGTGCTGGTGAGACTATAGCTTTGACATGCTGTGGCAATGTTTCCATATGACTCTGCCTCTGGGCCCTCTAGGATGCAGAAGGAGTTGTTTCAGGTCATGTGATGGGGCTGCAAGAAAGCAAATGGCCTGAGTTGAAATGGGAAAAGAAAGCCAGTTGGCGAGTACTTGTGAGAGTATCAGTATCACAGACATGTCAAAGATGTGCCTCTGCTGTGTCTCCTGTGACCTACATATTTTTCATTTTAAGTGGAAGCTTACATTGTTTGACCAGTTACCTTTATACCTAGATGTAATCTTAACTACAACCTGCCCCACCACACACGTGCACACACACAAGTAAAACCACGTACACGTATGCACACGGAAGGAGCAAGCACCGTCCTATGCAGTCAGTCCATGAATTGGTGATGATATAGGGAGCAGGGGTAGTGCAATAGGATGTGCTGTTATCAGGAAATTCTTTCCCTAGATTTGGCCTTACCAGTCCTGTGAGCAAAAAGTGGAGGGAAGCGCCCTGCAATGATTCCATAGCTGTTCATCACACTGACAGCTCGTGAAGGAGATGGAAATTAGGACAGACTGTGTGTGAGACAGTGAGGAGTGAGATGAGACTTTAAGACCAGAGTTTATGGACCCAGTCCAGAGTGAGTCAGATTTGAAAAAGGGTCCAGTACTGTCATCGTGCCCAGGAGCACAGCTGAAACCCAGTAACATCTGGGATGTACTTGACTCAAGACACTGGTGACCTGGGTGCAAGGGAAAGCCTCTCTTAGAATTTGCATCTTTGCAGATGTTCTTTGACCATTTGCAGTGAAGATTTGTTTCCATGCGGCCATGGTTATTTTCATCTGTTCCTGATTTTGTGGTCTCTGAGAACTATGAGTGTATGCAAGGAGAATGCATGACAAACACCATTAAATACAGGTAAAAGGGTAGGCAGCTATGGTGAAATCATCACTTAGGCCTAAGTGACGTGGGGATAAAAGTCTGGTTGAATATCAAATTTCAATATTGATAAAAGGCTGTAAAGTAAAATTCAAGTGAGAAAATAGGAGCATGATAAACCCCCATTTTGAGGATCTAAGCACAGAGATGGTGAGCTTGCCCAAAATGTCAAAGACAGTCTGGCAGTGCAGTGAATTGCACTCTGTTGCCTTAAATCTCAACTCTTCAAAATAACCTTAATAAAAACAGCAGATCATCCTTTTGGTGGATACCGAAGTAGCCAGCCTACTAACAGGAGAAATGATGGCACCAGTCATGTTTTGATAAGTTTATATTTTGGAGCTTTGTTTTTGAGGAGACTGTGTCCTTGCTCTGTGGGTGTCGAGTGAAAACACGTCCTGGCCTGCTTGAGAGGGGTAAATGCAGTCCTGAGTATTGCTCTTGTTGTTCTTAAAGAGGCACAGGTTAATAGAAGGGAAAGCAGACAAAAGTGGAAAGGTGAAGACCCACTGCAGCCCAGCATTTGTAGCTGGGTGCTCTGCTCGGCAGCCCCTGGGAAAAGGCATTTATTGCAAATTCCTTTTTGGATCTCATGTCCTTGGGTCCATGTGTGCTTTGAAAGCTGCTTGCTGGAAGCATGACTCGGATTTCAAAATGTGACTGTGGTGGAGTAGCCACAGAAACACAGGTGCTGGCACCAGCAGGTGAGCTGGGAAGCAATGCAGGGAGAGAAGCTCAGACAGGCCATCAATAGGCTGTGCTCTTCCACAGAGGTTGCTGCATCCTTGCTATTCTCAGCAGTGTTTCTGCTGACCTGTGTGTTTTTGGGACAAGTCAGAGCTGTCAGGCAGGTCTTGTGTGGGCATCAAGCAGAGCAGGTCCAGTGGTGCCAAATGAGGCTGTGCTGATTTATGCTGTTTGAGGAGCTGTCACTGACATATTTGTAGTGCTTGTTTCTAGCTAACTGAAAAGATTACTTTTGTCTTCTTTGTGAACTGTGGGGCAGGGAAGACTAGAAACATGTTAGGAATGCAGTACACGAGGAGAATATAGTACAAGCAGCTATTCAGCACTGTTGGTTGTGCTTTGTGTGGATCTGACTTAAGATACTTTCTATTTGTCTTATAGAGCCCTCGGTAATAATTTCACAGTAGTATTTTCTTTCAAAGCATCTGTACATTTGTGGAAACACAATATGCATGTTTTCCTTGATACAGAGGATATACAAGCATTGGCAAAAAAAGCCATTGGGGAATCTTTGTAACCAGTGTGTACAATACCAGAAGCA